ATCATCACCAGGCTCTTGCCAAGACTAGCGGGGGGGGCAGCCGCAGACAGAGAGCCCGCCGCGAAGAAAGGAGAGCCGGCCCAAGTTCTAACTTCCTTAGGAAGTGTTTGTTCTAACTTCCTTAGGAAGGATCTGAGGAAGGTTTTGTGTTCCGTAGATGAAGGGACCTACTGTGGTACCTGTTGTGGTAGGCTTGGACGAGTCTGCGGTGCCCCCACGCTGCGTCAGCCTGTGTGGGGCACTCTCTCTGCTGGTCCGAACAGGCCTTTCCGTCGTCAATTCCGACGCACTCGGGTTCGACCACAGCATCGTCATCGAGCTCGCCGACCCACACAGCTTGGACAGCTCTTGCCCGGCCGGAGTTTCGCCTTGCGTCGCCGACGGCGCGCTGACGGTGCTCCTCGATGGGGATGAGGCGTTGTTCTCACCCGGCACGGTTTCCCTGGGCCCAGACGTGGAAATCTCGGCGGCCAACCTCCCCGGCGCCTGCCGCTCGTTCGGCTTCTAGAAGGTTGGCGAACAACATTCTTTGTTACTATAGCTTCTTCCTTCCTCGCCTCATTCGGTACATAGCTCTCGGATCTGGTTCGCGACCGTCACATAGTCTACTAGCCTCGTTCGGTTGCTCTTCTAGACGTTGCCGTTTCAGTCAACCGCGCCTGCCTCCTCTTGCTGTACGCCCCACTGGTCCCCTTGAACCCTCCTCGTTCGTGGAAAGAAGGATGACCAGGGCGGCTGTGGCGTCTGCTAGAAGATCCATCAGTTTAGTTCTCACAACCATGCGGTGACTGCAATGCTTGTCGCGTGATGGTCTTGATTCTGTTTGCAGTACTGGGAGCGCAAGAAGCTCGAGTACGCCACCGACCGCCGTCGCCTGCGCACCCAGCCGAGCATGGGCGAATGGATCCTCGGGGTAAGAAGAAGAGATTGATGGCTTGCATAACACTAACGTGATGTAACTGTTGGTTCAAAGCCTTGAGCCACGTTACACAAAATGGTTTTCTTTTTCTCTGAAGGAAAAACGCTGGGGTACTTGCGCAAGCGATGCCTCAGTCGACGTGTGGAAATCCTTCAATTTGCACTTGAACGTGGTTCTTACCACTGGTACAGATCGTCGTTCCAAACGTGATGCAGTAACCCGTCTTGTTCTTCTTTTTCTGCCATTTTTTTCGTCCAGGACCCTCGGCTACCAACATGAACGAGTGCGAGGAGTACGTGGCACGCGCCGAGGACGAAGAAGACGGGGTGTTTGCCCACCAGTCCGAGCACGCCTCCTTCCAGATCGTGACCCCCGCCGCCACCGTCCGCCTGAGTCACGGCAGGCTTCACCAGATCGCCATGCGTGACCCGACTGACCAGTACGACCTCCTGGACCGCTTGACCTGGCAGATGAACCTGGCCGTTGACCACAACGAGGTGGGAGATGTGTGTACATATGCATGCCATTTGTTGCTGGCCTGTAGTTAGCAGCATGCCCGGGATGAGTGATGGCCCTATTACCCCGCGGTCTACATGTTTCGAGTTTCTTGCTTACTGCCACACTGCACTGCTGTCTTCAGTATCTCTTGTTCGCGACCAGGTAACTCACTGAGTAGCAAACGAAGGATGAAACGTTAGCCTTGGGTGGGGCTTGAAAGGGGGATCTACTCGAAAAGCCGAAATACGGGAGACCTTACGGAGAAACACAGCACCTGCTTCAATCGACCATGAACGCGTTTCGAAGCTCGTAGGTCGCAGTGCAATTTCACCAAATAGTTCACTTCCATGCTCGTTCGTTTTCCCTTCCGTGGCTTTGCAGACCGCGTGGGGGGACCTCTTGGGGTGGGCTTCGTCCAAGACGCCCACGCCTCTTAGGCGGCGTTGACCGCAAACCAGAACGTGTGAAACACAAATGGACCATTCCGAAGCACGGTTGTAGCGACACGAGGTATCCGTTGTTGCAGTGTACACAGGTCTAGCCGGCTCCGTGTCATCCCCGCTGACCTCAAACCGGAGCGTGTGAATAAGAAGATGGGCTCTTCCGAAGCACGTTAGTGTGGCGGGAGGTTCCAGTTATCGCTTGCAGCGCAGGTGTAGCTGGCTCCGCCGCGCCACGATTTGGGGGATTTCTGTTTGAGTGGAAAAGAGACACCGTATTTATCTCCTTCTGGTAGGTCTCGCGGGTACCCATTTTATTTTCGTGCGCCAAGGTGGTGTGACGGGCAACACGCAACGTTGTGGGTGGGTGAAAAGCAAACCGGCACTCCTTGGTTGCGTCGGTGATACGTTTGCGGAGGAAAGACTGCCGTTGGGGTATGACCCAATAGTGTTCTTGCAGTTTAGTTGGCAAGGAATGGTGGCCTAATGCGTGGAGGTGCTTGACCTGGTACACCTTCGTGTACGGGCGTGGGCAAAGAAAGTAGTTGCAGCGCGAGCAACGTTCGAAGGCTCTGCAAGTTGTTCTTGAAACGTTGGATTCTTCATAAACCACCAACGGTTTCCGAGGTAGAATCAGGTTTTCACAATGGCTCTCATGAATCGGAGGGGTCCTGGAGCTCGTTGAGCTATAGCGGGTGTGTGTGACGTAAAGTGAACCTACGGCAAGAATGTACTGTTTTCTGTACCTTTGGTAGCGTGAAGAAGAATACGAACCCCAGGAACATGGTTTCGAGGAATCGTACAACCTGCGTATGCAAGTCTCAACGAAAGGGCTGGAAAATATAGCCTGATGATTATTTCAACCACTGCACTACTACAGGATTAGTTGTTCGTCGATGAGATGTAGTTGTAGCCCCAGTGATTCCACGAACTAATGTCGACTAGAAGGCCTTCGTGATTATCGCTGATGGCTGTTCACACGTACGACCTGACGTTATTCAGCCGCTTGGAGCAGATGTTTGGTGATTATAGTGCTGGCACATAAACTGTTGCAGTAGTTTTGTGTTCATAGATCCTCCCGTCTCTCCCTTGATAACAGTGTTTCGCATTCCCAAGGTCTTCAAGAAGGATCCCGGTTCTGCGGTGGTGTGGAGTTGGATACTGTACCTTACCTAGACTCACGTTCAAGAGAGCTGCGGTGGTTGAGATTCTGTGAAACTTATCCTAGCGGGATATCTGTAGAAGGATCGGGTTCATAGGACCTAGGTTTCAGATCTAATGGGGGTTCCACGTGAAGCGGTGACGGATTTGTAAGTCTACTGTAGCAGAGGAAGGGAGAAAATAAGGCCTGGTTCAACAACCGCGTGTGATGCCACCGAAATACATACAGTTCTCAGTCCCGACCACGGTGTGTGCCGAGTGAAAAATGACCGCAACACGCAACTTTTCACTCTGTGGCTGCACCCACCGTATGAGGTACTGCCGTTCGTCGCGGTACGACGGGAGGCGCTGATGAAATACATGTGCCGAGAGCACTCGCTACTTCTGCCGAACAGCAGATACCCCAACAGCATCAAGGACACTGCTGCAAAGGACATGCACGTTCTCGCCTTGAAGAACAGGTAATGCCCCCCCATAGTACCAGTTGTTCTCAACTTCCCAGGTACGACCTTTACACCTCTTAACAAATCGTGTGTCTTCGTCCATGTGAAGCTGGTTCCTCGCCATGATGACCTGTTGCCGACGCCGCCATAACTTCGCAAGGTACGTCTACAGCAGTATTAGTACATCTCTAAGTCTGCAGGTTCAAATCATTGTGAGTCCGCCGGTGGAGCCGGGTGCTCCCGAGGGAGCCCCACCGTTAGTGGTGCTGTTGCTCGGGCCCCCGGCGGCACTGGCGGTGTTGTCGAGGCGGGCCGCGGGGGGGGCGCCCACTGCGCCACTGCCAAGGGCAGCAATCTTGTCAAAAAATGTGTCTTGGTAGTCTCGCTGGGGGAGTGGCATGCGAAATCGGGAGAAAAAGCGACCAAGAAAAGGAGCAACCGACGAACGCACACGGGCGCAAGACAGGAACATAAACTTGGAGTTAAATGAATCTGCTACGAAGACCAAAATGCTAAAAAAGGTTTAACGAGACCGAATAGTTTGCGTGCCGTGCGCTCCGTGGAGCTGGCTCCAAATTCTACTCTTATTTATGCCATGAAAACCAATTTCATTATCTTTTCCTCCGGCTATCATTTGTTCGTGCGTTCGAGCGGGGATGCAGCAAAAGTACCAGTTCGACTCATACCAACGTGGCTATAGCCTTTCCCTTGTTGGTTAGGTACAACGCACCACGCAACCACCACGACAAACTTCCAACATGCACGACAAGAAAGCGGCAGTGGCCACCAAGGTATCACGCCAGGAGACACTTAAGCGTTCGTTGCTGACATCTCAACTAGACACGCCAGGGAAAAAGACGGAGCTCACAAACAGACCTGATATGGATGTGCCAGCAAGGCAGCCATGTTGACGTTTAACCGCTGGAGGTTGTGCCCGCACTCCAGAAAGTAGGAATGCTGGGAGCGGGGTATGGAGGAGAAGCGCAAAATTGAGGGCGGTGTTGGGGAGGGGAGGGTATTCGCGTATCCGTTGTTGTTGCATTATTCCACGACGAACGTCATTCTCACCTCTACATGTGCAGTACCGAGAGCCAAGTCTTCTGGACTCTTCTTTCTCTGTCGGCTAAGAAACCGAAGCGCCTGCGATTGGCCGCCTACTAGGATGAGCAGCGCTCCTCCTCTTGCTTGCTCGCAGAAACCTACAACCTGAGTCCCGAAACACTCTCGTCATTCCAAAACACGACAACACAGCTATGTAGCTCCCTTTGGTTGTCACCGCCACTCGCAGACGAAGGCCTGCTTCGCTACATACGAGGTGTGGGCTGAGAGAAGACCAACCGAAGCGCACGGGTTGGACGTCAATCCCACGAAAACCGTAAGGGAAGGCAGGCGGAGGGCATGCATGAGGAAATAAAGGCACTGAATAGACGCGCAGGCCACGGGGACGGCACGTGGGGAAGAACGTTAACAAAAACAGCAGAAAGAAGCTGGAGTGTCGAAAAATCGTGCTTCTGTGGAGATGTGATTCCCCCGCTACCGCTACTTCCTTCCCGCGGTGCCCAGCAACTACAAGCCAAAAGCAACAGATTCTTCGGGCGGAGCGGGTGGAGGTGTGCGGGGCGTCAGCAAGCGAAGGAAGTACGGAAGAAACACACCTGCAGAACATCACTTTTTTCGTACAGCAACCAAGTGGCACCCAAGAACAGGACCAAAACAATATCACCCGCACAAACCGCCTAAATCAACGCATGAGCGCAAACAAAAAATCGGGGGAGAGACAAAAAAAAACAGAGGAAGGAGAAACGCAAAACGATGTCGCGGTACGCACCCCTCCGCCGCCGCTGGTCTCCATGGTGGCAATCGAGTCGAATACTTCTCCGCAGATGACCCCTTCGTCCGAAGGCTTGCGGTGGAAGTAGAGGCAGTCGAGGAAGAACCGCCAGTGCGACAGCAGCCCGCTGTCGAGAGATCGCGCACCGCGGGTGTAGACAGCGACCACAACGGATTTCAGCAGCAGAAGCAGCACCAGCAGCAGCAGCAGAACGCACCCGGGGGGTTAGATAGTTAAGTGGACGGGTCCGACTGAAACGGCGATCCAAGATAAACTCTACTTCGGCGAGGGGGGCAAAAGCACAGAAATAACACAGACTCAACGTAAAATGTCCAGCAGGTGTCACTCAATGCTGTAGCCAGCAGTTGTGACTCAATGCTGCAAAGGTGTGATTCATCCCTCAACCGGAAAAGGTTTCAGTGATGTCATCGATACTTGCAACAGTGCTGGATGGAGTTTGCTTGTGGCTGACGTTGGCCACCAATCAACAAGCGAACAGCAGCGGCACTGAAACCAACACCAACTTCCGTCACACCCTGCCACTAGTATCGACAGTCCTCACGGCCGTTGCGCTTCGCTCCACTGGAGACACGAGACAATTGGGTGACGAACCTCCCGCAAGAGCACCAACACAGCAAGGGCTATCGATGGTTCCAACCACGAGAGGAGAAAACACACACACAGACATACACACATACAAGGCAGCACCCTTAACCTGTCCTACAGGTTCACTTTCTAGGAGGTGAGGCGTAAATTGGAACTGCTAATATCCAGCGGAAGCTCACCACCCCCGCCCAAGTGACGGAAGCAGTGGCGGCGGCGACATCCGCACTCACTGTTTCTCCGCTCCTGTTGGGGGCACAACCGGGCAGGTGAAGGATCTGCCGTAGAGCACCAACGCCCGCACCACCGGTCGGACTTGCGATATCGCTCCCACCACGGCTTCCGCACCCCGCACCCCGCCGCCGCCGCCGCCGCCGCCGCCGCCGCCGCCGCCGCCGGAGCTTCGATTCCGCTGCGATGCGGTATGTACCGTACCGGACAAAGATTCGACCGAGAACCACGGGACGAGGAGGTGGGCCGCAGGCAGGCGTTCGGACAGCCTAAAGGGTTAGAGGCGCGGACCTAGGGGGCACTCATACGTGACAGGAGCTTTGGTTGGCTCGACGGAGCGGAGACGAGAAGCACCACCCAAGGTTTCGTTTGCCCCTCCCCCCCCCCCGGGCGGCGGAACGGCAGGATAGATACGTAGGGGTAGGGAACGCAATTTCTAGCCGCCTTCCTTAAAGTAGGAAGGAACGATTGGACCAAAAAACAGGTAATATATTGTAAAAAACTGATGCCGAGCCAACAACAACACTGACCTCCGTCACCGAAGAAAGGGGGTCCTTCGCCGGGGGGAAGCGTTCCGCGATACAGTCCAGGAGTTCCGAGAAGTCAAACGGCGTTTCTCCTCCGTCGCCGTCTTCGCCGCCCTCGGCCACAGATGATGATGACGCTTCTGGCGGCTGGAGGGGCTTCATGTCGAGGGGTGGGGGGGTGGGCACGGGTGTGACGCTTCTGGCGGCTGGAGGGGCTTCATGTCGAGGGGTGGGGGGGTGGGCACGGGTGTGAGGTGATGCGGGTGTCGGGTTTCAGGAATAACGGTCGAGGAATGGTGGGGCTGTGCACGATCTGCAGGAGGGTGCACTTGTTGTTGCTGTTGCTGTCTTCATATCAAAAACCGTTACCTTCTAGTGTCTGTACTGGTCCAACTGACGCATACGCCTTCCGTTGTCACAAGCCAACTACATTCCCCCAATGAGGGGTACACCTTTCTTGAACGACTGCTGCAGCGAATACACTGGGTCGTTCCGGCGGGATACTGGAGGCTCCGGGAATCTTGGGTGTAACGGGGGTGGTTGAGAGGTGGTTCTAAGTCCGTTGGTGACCACGTGCGCACGCTGTACCGAGAACCCTATGACAGTCCCATGAACTACTGTCAGGAGCACAATCGATTTCGGGAAAAGGGTCGTTGATCATATTTCGCGGGAGGGCGGTTCGGCGGTGATGAAAGTCACGTCTTCCGATAGACAAAAAGGCTGACAGGAACAATATGTGCCCTTTGTCATTGAAGTGAAGTGAGGTCGAGACAAGTGAGATCGAGTGAAGTGCGGCAGAAGTTGTCTAGAATTCCAAGCTAGGGCTAGAAAAGAGCGAGGAAGGCCAAGAGCGAGGGGCATGAGAAGACCGGACATCGGTAAATGACACACACAACGATCCACGCACATGTAGACTGGAAACCACATCAATAATTGAAAAAATGCGTGGCACCAGCCTCTACCCAACACGACAACCACTCACCTGCAAACGGTCAATCGCCTCGAACACGGTCCTCACGTCCGAGGTCAGCGGCCGGACAACCGTCACGCCGTCGCCGAGCGCCAGCACGGCGAAACGATGCTGCGGGCACGACGGATAAGGGGGAAGCAACATCGGCATCAGCAAGAACCGTGGGTCCAAGCGTCGTCCGGAAAGGCTGTTCCGTGTATCAAAGCGCCATTAATAACAACGAGAACAAGATCAGTGGTCTCTCTCAATAAGCTTTCTCCCCCAGCGGTAACGCTCAGACTGCTCGCAAACTATTCAGCCGGCCAACAGATGTGGTGGGGGAAGACCGAGAGGATAATCATGGCAAAGAAGATTGCAAGGTTCTCCGGGTTGGGTACTCATTTCGGACAAAGAACCCAGCGACAAAAAAAAAAAAAAATGGTATCTCTCTGATTCGCTACAACAACTATCGCCTTAGGAAGCCAGCGACAAAACTATCCCTATGCGTGTATGACACTAAACCCAACACCAAACACCTCCTCGCCTTCGGATTGAAGGATGCCTTACGCCGCACGAAACCCCTCAGCGCCGCCTGCACTACCCGCATTCTCGTCGACGCAGTGCCCCCAGGACCCGCGCCGGCCCACTCGCTCGACATCTCGGGGTCAATGTCCACGCACAGGACCTAGTTGTTGGCCATTGCCGTTTGCACGATGTTGTTGTCGCTGACGGGGACATATCGAACGCTCTACGTCTATGCATAAAGGGGTGCCACAGTTGTCAATTCGGTGTCTAGATGTTGTCCGTCAAAAGAAATCGATGTCGACTGATGTTTGGACTTTGGTATTTGCAGCGCTGTACTGTAGCGCTTACCACTCGCTGTGACCATATTCTGGCCAAGGGCAACCGAGGTATGGCCCTTAGTTGATACTTCATATACTCGCATACCAGCAGGTGACAAAATACCACTCTCAAAATCACGCTACGACACGCGCCCCTATGCTGACCCACCGCCCCGACCAAAAATCCCGCCCTTAACACCAACTACAGGATGAAAAGACGAACAAAACGAAAAAACAAAAACGAAGAAAACATGACGAAAAACACATACCACATCCTCCGGCGACATGCTCGCAACCAACACACGCTTCCGGTCGTTCAGATTTGCAAGCCCCGACGATCCTCTCGAGCCACCCTCAACACCACCCGTAGCCCCGCCCCCAGCAGGAGCCTGAATCGGCGTCGCCCCCCCCCCCTCGCCCGGACCTGCCGAGACACTGGTGCCTTCCTGCATGGAGCAAAACGAACATACGAGAATGGGGGGGTAGCGACCGTTTACGGGAGAAAATGGCTGCGGGTGCTCCGCACGACGGGGCGTAGCAGACACGCAGTAGGAGCTGTGAGGGCGTGGTGTCGCGCAAGCTTCGAGAGAACTGCAGGGGGGAGTGGCGAGGAAGAGCGGTGGAGCTCGTGTGCGATACTTGTAGTCACCCGCTGAGCGATGGAAGATCACCCCCCCATAAACCCACGCATTCCGAAAGATTAACCGCCGAAACCGAGCCTCCAAAAACTCAGAATCTCCCTAAGAACTTGAGCACCATTTGTGAGCTCCGTTAAGAACTCCTGCACTAAAATATTATAACGGCCTTTCGTAGAATAACCCTAGGAGCAATAAATCCCAACCTCGGCCGAAACTAATAATAGAGGTTCTTAAGTGCGGGCGCAAACTGCTGTCGTCCGCCACAGTCTCCATGTTCTTACATATCCTCACGGCGAGCTCCACACTGTTGATAAAAAGGGCGAAACTTCAAACCAGCACCGCACTCCCTCCAAGGCGCACGCCGGCGAATACTTCACGCGAAATCGCTACTACGGGAACGAATGCTACTGACAACCTAACCACCAACCGTCAACAAGCATCTTGCTCAGCGTCTGTCTGGTGCGAAGAGGACATCACGCGGGACTAAATACATGGGCGAGGACGAAGTACGGCCTACTGGCAAGAGCGGGCCACACACGCTGAGGTTCGTTTGCTATGTCCCCGGCCGGCTGGCTACCAACCGTGCTGCAAGGCAGTACAGGGATCGAGTCCGTCCCGCACACATAAGAGTCCGTCCCGCACAGTCACTCTCCATCCACGCGCTGCCGTTGTCCAAGAAAACAGAGAAAAAAAAACTGCGGTACCTTGTACATAACACACACCTACATACCAGCGCGCGTTACAACTCACCCTGCAACATAACAGAGGGCCGCGTACCAGGAGTTTCGAGTGGGATACACCGTCGGTCCACAGAGGTGTCGGCGAGGGTTCATGTGTACAACATACGTTGCATATGCATACATAGCTAAATGCTGTATTGGCGTAGTTGCCCACTGAGGCTGCAGTGCTGCAGTGCAACTGCAGCGCTGCAATGTACAACCATTGTTGGGAGTCGGCGACCAAAATGCGGCATAACTCAATATTTGTCATCAGAAAGTGTGGGTAGGTGGTACGCTAGCTGAGTGTTGGATCTCAACAGCAACAGCGCTCACCACGCTCATTGCACCAAGCTGTGCACGGAGTTCAGTAGTGCCGCCTTGCCGTTGCTGCTGCTCCATGCCACCTCCTTGTTCTCAAACCCGTTCCAGTTCTCCGCAAACTTCGTTTGTCCTTCGCGTTTATCTGTCGCGACCCTGCGTACAGCATGCGTCACCGTGCTTCTGTTGTCTTTGTTATTTCTTGCAGCAGCGAAATAGCTTATTTCGAGTGTGCCTTCTCACTGCTGTACCACATGGACTGGAACGAGATGAGAAGCGAGAGTGCTATTATAGACATCCTCTGGCAGTACAGCTCTGGGCAAGGCCAATTCAGGGATGGGTGTTATTCTAATCTGCGCCCCCCCTACGCTCCGTTGTCGTGTTGCTTTGCTGTTCAGTGTGTTTTAATGCATCATTCGTGCACTCCAACTGCTGCCATTCACGTCTCCACACCACTCCCGCGGAGCGAGGGCGGGCAAAGCAGGAGAGCGAAGCCCTTTCCCACGAAAGACCAGCGACTGGGTTAATTTTTGGTCTCGTAACGCAGAACGAGGCGCCCACTTCAACCACAGAGATGACCTCGAAGGCTGATATGTATGCGCCACCGGAAGAGCGGTATAAAGAGCAACAAGGTGGAACCGCCTACAAGGACCAGCAGCAGGACTATGAGATTCTAGAGGCGGGGCTGGTCCACAATGTCAACCCGGGTGGCGGAAGCAGTGCGGCGGCGGCGGCGGGCGGATGGGGTTCCACCGCTGAGATAGAGAAAGCTCTGCGCTTGGGTGAGAGAGGCAGTGGAGAGCCCGATCGGTTGAGACTGAACAGTCAGTGTTAGACTGGGGTAGCCTGGTGCTCTTGTGCTTGTACCCATCCCCGGCAGCATAGTTTGCTTTGGGGCTGTGCGTTTGCATGAAGTGCTCTCTGTGTCGTTTGCCTATGGTTAGCCGTATAGTTGTAGAAAGGGAGACGTGGTTCACCCTGATGTCGTATCCGGTGTACGCAGTTGTTGTTGTTGTTGTCGTCTTCACATAGGAACCGTTCCGTTCTCTCTGCCCAGTACCTTCTTCTGTCCGTACTAGTCTAACACTTGACGGTCGATTCCCGTGGTTACAAGCTATCTTACCCAAAAAAGGTATACAAAAATTAAATGAACCCGAAGGTCCCCAAGCCATAAAAGTCAACGACAGATAGTCTAGGCCACTCTGCTCGCCTCTACACGCTAGGTATGCGATATGCGAGGTAACCCTAGATTGGAAAAAAGAAAGAATAAAAGAGAAGAGAAAAAGAAAAAAAGAAATAGAAACGACGCTATGAATTCATTGCTAATCTGTCTCAGACTCTTTTTCTATGCTTTGTGTGTGTGTTTTTATTATTCCTTAATGATAGAGATGGATTCGTAGTGTCATATTAAGACCAAAAAAAAAAAATCGTCGAAATACAGGTAGCCTCTGACGCTGTGGATTCATTGCTATCTATCTTAGACTCTTTTTCTCAGATAGAGATGGATTCGTTGTGTCATATTAAGAAAAAAAAAAAAAAAGACATGAAGAAAGAGACACAGCAGTAGTTCGAGGATATTATGTTTCTCCAAAACTCTCTTTCCCAGGTGCAGTGCTTGCATTAAAATCGCGAGAGAAGGGCTCGACACGTGGGGCTCTCTTAGGGCGTACATTGCACGGGGAATTCCACACTGCCATTCAGCAGTATTGCAATTTTTGATGAGCCTAGCGTGTCGCGTCCCGATATTTTTGAAGTGTTTGTTTGATGGTAAAATAATATCATGCATTGTATTGGTGTGCATCCATACTCTGCCCACGCGCAACGAAAAACTTGAGTGTGCTCGTCTCATCACAAGGCTAAAAGCTTCGCCGAACAGATTTGAACGGACGTATCGTATCTCGGACTCCTTCGCCTGTGAATAGAGATGAGTTGTGGACAGAGATGAAATCGTTGCGTTTCTGTCAGCATTTTTTTTTGTTAATATGAAAACAGGCACCTGCAGTAGAAGTTGAGCTCACATATATCGGCACTGCTGCAGAACACGGCATAGTAGAGGTCCTGTTCATATCGTTTTTATTGTTTGCCCTCGGGGATAATTCCCGAGAAGTCTGGCTCCCAGTAAAACACCCTCAAAGTCTGTGAATCTAACGGCTATGAAATACATGGTATGTTTTGTGTGTTGTATCCTTGTGCACGTTTTTTTTATTCTTGATCCAACTCAACAAACCTCTCCCGTGTTTTTTATGTTGCGTTTTAAGGCTTCATCCGCAAGGTATACGGCATCTTGTCGATCCAGCTGCTGCTCACGGCCGCCGTCGCGGCCGTCTGCGTCCTCAACGACAATGTCCGCACCGGCATCCTGGGCAACCTCTGGACTGTGTGGGTCGGCTTCTTCTTTTCGATCGGCCTCCTCCTGTGCCTGATGTGGTGAGTGGTCTTCTCTGCCCGCGTCCCTCCTGGGTTTTCCTACGCAGAGAGAAAGTATATTACGAAAAAAGACCAGGCAGAGGGCGGGCAGACCCCTAATTGCCGGTCCACACTTTGTCCAGCATCTTCCAGGAAGAGGGCCAAGAGGGTTCGGGCAGCAGCAGCAGCAGCAGCAGCAGCGGTCATCGCCACCACCAGCAGCAGATGTCATCGCCTACTATGAAAAACCTGCGTAGACTACAGCCTGCTTGAGGTTGATCGGATCCCCCCCTGGTACCCCAACCACACGCCCGAGCGCAGAGGTTCCCGCTTGATATCTGGGACTTTCTGGAATGTTGTACTTTTTTACCGAGTACAATGACGCTCTACAGACCTTGCACGTCGCAACGTGTTCGTTGGGAAACAACGATGGACTACCCTCACTCAAGCCTGAGCAGCACGTTGGATCATATTGGCGGTGTTACGTGCCGATCGTCGTGGTGAACAAACGAGATGCACTCACGTACACCTTGATGTGGTGTTTCCTACCCCCAGCCCCGCCCCTACTCGGTGCTGCTACATTTTTTTTTTTTCTTCACGACTCTTTTTTCTCGATTATCCCTCGAAACAGCTGTCGATGTTTGTTGTTTTTTCTTGAAAAGCCGGACCAGAATCAGTGTGTGATCGCTAAAATGCTCTTGTGGCTACTCTTTGGGCTTCTTCCGAAGTGAGAAATCCACATCTGTCGTGTAGTCGCGACTACGAGGATCTACCGCAGTGCAGTGCGCACGGTGGATGACCTTTCTCCCTGCCTTTTTCCGCACTTCCCACTTCACGCCTTGCGCCTCCCTCCCCCCGGTTTTATTGCGAATCTGCTGTGCCGCTTTCGGGTGCGCAGCTACCGTGACAAGTACCCCCTGAACATGTATCTGCTGGGAGCATGGACGTTTGTGGAGGCGTATACGGTGGGCGTCGTGTGCGCGGCCTACGCTAGCCAAGGACAGGTGTGTGAGGCAGCAGCAGGCATGGAACCACCCCCGTGTAAGGTTCAGGTAGATGGGTAGATGTGCGAGGTTGTTGAGCTGAGACACCGCTCTAAATCGCTCCACGATGGGTTTCTGGGAAAATCATATGCTGGTAGAAGGCTCCCCTTCGGGAGGAGGTGGCTTGCCTCCCGGTGGCGATGCAAGAAAGACATGGCCAATGCCATCGCGGTCGCATTGTTGCATCTCAACGTCATGACGTCGGTAATGCCGTTTTTGCGTGCAACCTGCAGAATTGGCCTGGAATTTGCATCATGTACGGGGTATTTTTTTTCTCGCCGTGACTTTTGGCGTGAGCGCGCGCTTTTAGGAATGATTCATGTGCATATATTGCCAAGACGTTGCTGCTACTCTCCCACTTGGGGAGGGGGGCCCGCGACCTCGACTTTCTGTTGATCAACCTGCATAGAACCGTTCGTTGCTCCAACAATGACGCCGGCGTCGGTGGCCTCGCCGTTCAATGGGTGAAGCCAGAAGAGCGACCCAAGGTCCTCCTTCTTGGCGTTAAGGGTTTTGACGTTTCAGGCTGATGACCGCTGCTCTGCTCTTTTTTCCTGTAGGGTGGTATATTTGATGGCATGCGACGTTCTTGGTTTTGCACGACTTTTGATGCAGCGATTAGCATCGAAGGCTACTTTCGTGGGCGTGCTTCGGGTGTCGGGGAGCCTGTTGGCTTGTAGATCGGCAGTTGTCGCCTGCGTCCGGGCCCCTTGGCGGTCACGTATACAATGTACTGTAAAGCGTTTTCGATTAGAGTCATGACGGCCCGACAATACCTTGCCGTTCCCGTGCTTTCGCCCTTCGTCAGCGTGGTATACCCGCACCAGGAGGCGTGCTTTCTCCCCAGACCTCTCACGGTGCCTATCCCACACCCTTGGCTTCAAGCCGTTTGGTTAGATGGCCATCCGGGTGGATGACGATAAGAGTAGAGTGCTTGGGAGCGCCAGTTGGTGCTTGGCGGGTTCCGGGCAGCAGCTGAAGTTGATCGATGATTTCGCTGGCCTCAACTGCTCTGCCCGTTTACGCACTGGTGTTCCCCGCTGCTGGTGACCATCACTGACAACGGCCCGTCGCAAGATCCCTTCGTACGGTCATGCTCCGTTTAACGTTCACTTACGCCGCCATCCACCAACCACCCTCATTCAACCAACAGGGAACGATCGTTGTTCAAGCGGCGGGGTTAACGATGGCCGTCTTCCTGGGGCTGACGCTGTTCACCTTCCAGACCAAGATCGACTTCTCCTTCCTCGGGGGGGCATTGTTCGCGAGCATCTGGGTGCTGATGCTGTGGGGGGTGGTCATGTCGGTCTTTGGCTTCCAGCAGAGCTACCTCTACTCCCTGTTCGGCGCGATCATCTTCTCGCTCTATATCCTCTACGACACCAGCCTGCTCATGAATCACCTGGTGCGTGCTCGTGGTGCTCATTTTTGCCGCTTTTTCGAGCATGTTGGTGGTGTTAGCAGGTATTGATCTATATTTGCGCTAGCGTTGGAGAATAAGTCCCGGGTGACTTTCTGCAAAATGTACCTCCGCATCGCATGTACGACGTCTGCCAGGTCCCGCGCCCAGTTTGCAATACCTCAAGCGATGCATGAAATCCAGTATCCCCTCCCCCACACTGAGCGCACATTCCGACCGCACGTTTTTGCTGTTGTGGGCAGGGGTACGACGAGTACATCGTCGCCTCCATCAGCCTCTACCTCGACATTCTCAAGTGAGAGCTGGTGTTGTCACGCATTCCTCACGCCACAGGATGTTTTGGGGAAACTGACTGAACAAGTTACCGTTGAAGGAAGCATCCATGCATGGAGTTGTATTTTTTCTTTGTACAGTTTTCGTCTCCAGCGTGAACATGGACGCTATCTGTTGGTGGTGGCGTATCCTCTCTCTCTACTGGTGCTTGTTGTCGCACCTCAATTTGTCGTCGTTGCCGCTTTTGACGTTGTTTTCATGGTGATGGCCGTTGCAGCCAGGTGATTGGTTCCAAATGCGACAGCACCATCAAATGTCAAACGTTGAAACTAAGGATAAAGTGGGCATTGTCCGGGTTTCTGTGAAATTTATGGCAACAATCTGCAGAATCGACTGCCACGTGCGATTCCACCTAAAGAGTGCACGTGCGATTCCACCTGAAGAGTGCACGTGCGATTCCACCTGAAGAGTGCTGATGAGCCTAATATTTTCACTTATTGTACATGAAAACAAAATAAATTGCCAGAACAACAATCCAGCCCTGTCCAGATCAATGGTCGAAGTCTAGGTAGGGGCCAGTGCTTTCAAGACCGGTATCACTTGAAAACATCCGTTCTCGTACGACACACATCTATCAGCCAGTATATTTATTGTGTATTGTGGGCCGTATTGTGAAGATTGCACAACACCCTCGCTTGCGTCCGGCGCTCACCCGAGGTTCAGTATTGCTAGCACCTGGCAAGACGATCGATAGCATATTGTATCAGAAATCATGCCAAGAACGGAGTTTTGAAGCCTAGCAGGAGGAGTTTTGGGTAACCTAGGGTTGCGACGAGAGCGTTGTATATACTGGGTGGCAGGGGGGCAACGGTGCCTTCCTTGGAGGAGAAATAGGTCGGTTCTAGCACACAGCTTTCGGTAGGTTAACATGGTTATTAGCAGCAGCAGACCCTTGCTTATCAGGAAGTATGGTCGAAGGTTCTGTTGTCAGCAATGGCCAAATGACCTAAGGCAGACTTCAAATGAGCATCCTCGCAACCCCTCCCTGCCCGGCACGCGCGCGAACATTCACAGCCTCTTCCTGTACATCCTGAGGCTCCTTTCCAGAGACAACCGATGATGGGGCCGTGGTTCATCGTACCACAGGATGCCGAGGAATGGCAGCGAGGAATCCCACCGCCCTTGTTTGATCCAGCGTTGTCATCGGGACGACATGGTTGGAATTGGAGCGTGGTGAATGTATATATAGTATGTAAGTGATGGTGTTGAACACCCCAGATGCTGCGCATGATATCACGTGGCGGCAGCTCTTCGGGACTGGGCCCTAGCGAGCTTCTGTCTTCCCCGAACTAGACATGGGTGTCTTTGGATTGAACCACAAGCGGAGGGGGTGGGTGGCCACAGCACCACAATTAATGTCGGTGTGGATTTGTGACAAATCAGAATTCAGCGTCACCCAGTGTTGGACAGTACGCGGGCGCATATTCCGAGGCTACGCTGGCGTGATTGCTGTGAACTATTTTTTTTTGTTCTTGTGGGGGTTGAAACGTAAGTAGGACACGAAAGGGGTGGCTCGTTGATGAACTATTTGCCCTGCCTGACGGATTTGCCTTGTTTCTCGTGTTGCCGAGATATTGTGACAAACTATCGGACGTCATTGTACGGAAGGCAAGGAAGCGGTGGACCCTGCACCACCTACGAAGGCAATCTTGGTGCTCGACGGCGGCGACGAAAGCTGCATGCATGGCATGGACCCAAATGCATATTTCTATTTTCCGGGTTCAGCTCTGTACCTTCGTTTTCCAAGCTCCAAAAGGTTTTCAGACAAGGCTTCAACACTAGGTTGTGGCACAGGCATGGCCGATGGGATTAACGTCTTCTGCTTCTTCATTGTCCCCCCCAAAATACCCCGGAGTGGCGCATTCTCTGACACGGTACAGCCGGGGCGTTCCCCGATGCTTTTCACCCGAGAGGTGTGTCCTATTGTAGAACGACCCCAAACTGGGAACTCATGGGGCGCAAACACTGCGATTCAAATGAAGCGACCGATCGGTGCACAAACAGGAAAGCTTCTGCCAAGTATGGGTTCTCCTCTGCTTCATGTGGCGCGGCCCCAGGTCCATACGGCACAACTGTCGAAGCACGGAAAGGATTTCGCCCCGGAGGTGTCTGACAAGAGGATGGTAGGCACATGAAACGATGTCATCTCACAGGCATAAGTCTAGGTAGCTGGGCAGCTGATGCGGGTACGTCGCGCGCATTTAGGCGTTGGTGTGCAAGGGGCACCTGTGCGGACACGATTTGGAGCAGCTATGTTGTTTCGACCTAACACCTTCCTGGTTGAGTTTCTCTCGTCACACAACATATGCCGAGCGCAACTTGACTTCGATGAGCTACACGAAGCTTCGTGACACCATTGCGGACAGACAGAAACGGTTCCTTATTGTCAAGACAACGACAGATACGCAAACGCAAACTGTGGGCGCCCCTACAGTAAGGAAAACCAACGGCCCCTTGGTTATTTTAAGACGCCACGCTCCCCTATATGCATCCTTCTGCAAACGTTGTGACCGGAAAAGTGCTCCTCCATACTGCTTCAAACTGTGCCGCAAACCAGTCAACAATCAAAACGACCTTCTCCCACAGCGACTATCTAGGAAAATGGATGTCCTTCTCGTCCTATTGGCTATGCTGCACATCTCGTACGCTAACACCCCGACTCTCACCGACTGGCCGAAAACTCTGAGGATAGTTACCGGATATTTCAGCGTAAACACCGGGCGAACGGTTTTTCCGGACGACAATAGAGTCCGGCATACACCGCCTACGTTCGTCCAATCAATACGTCGCGATTGGGTAAATGTTTGTTTCACCCTGCCCGGCGGAGGAAACTACAACTAGTGACATAACATTATGGCGCCCGACCGCGCCGCGCAACACAAACAAGTGTTGCGGCGACAAACTCAAAGCTCGTGGAAAAAAAATGAATTTCGTTTTCGACGTGTACCGGGAATGCCGGAGGTCACCTTTTTCAACGGTTCGCTCATGTCCATACCTACAATACAGTCAATCCTACTTAGAACTTTGAAGCAAATGCAGCACCTCAATGTGCCACACCAACCAATGGTTCCGCTTCGATGTGGAGCTACCACCGAAATGTTAGGTTTTGCATGCCACCAACCACAAATGTGGTAGCCCTTTGGCAGCAGCCAAAACATTTGCGTGTGTCCCCTTGTGAAGAGAGACTACGAAGAAAAGCCCCTTCGCCATCAGTACCAAACCATGTACGAAGAAATCCAACGCCTTAAACGACGTGGGCATCTTGCGGGATGTGGTCGCTCGAACGTTGGTGACGCGATGATATTGACCAAATTCTGTCGGCCCCTTTTCTTTCTGCCAACGCCGCGTGTCCCTCCACGACCATTGACGCAACCGGCGACCCGCGGGAGGAGAACCCACCGCTCGCCTCGCCCGACTCTGTCGAAGATGCACTATAGCACATTTCGTCTTCGTGACCACCCAAACCTGGGCTGATTCCGGCCGAACACGAGAGCGGTGAAGCGGCAGCGCGGCGACCTCCATAAGTGTTGGTTGATGCAATTTCCCTCGCCGCCGCCGCCGCCGCCGCCGCCGCGTACTCTTCCGCAACCGACATGAAAACAGGTGAACCGGCGGAGGAGAAACTGTGGCGTCCCGTGCCCGACTCGGTCGAAGATGCGCTATAGCACATTTCGTCTTCGTGACCACCCAAGCCTGGGCTAATTCCCGCCGAACGCGAGAGCGGTGAAGCAGCAGCACGGTGACCTCCATTTACATTGGTTGATGCCATTTTCCTTGCCGTCACTGCCGCGTACTCTTCCGCAGCCGACGCGAAAACAGGCGAACCGGCGGAGGAGAAACTGTCGCGCCCCGTGCCTGACTCGGTCGAAGAAGCGCTATAGCATATTTGGTCTATGTGACTACCCAAACTTGGGGTGGTTCCCGCTGAATGCGAGAGTGGTGAAGCTGCAGCACGGTGACCTCCATTTGCATTGGTTGATGCCATTTTCCTCACCATTACTGCCGCATGCTCTTCCGCAGCCGCTTCGAAAACAGATCGTGGACTCACGAGCGCCAGACCGCTTGTTTGGTGGCCCATGACGGCGAAGAACTCGCCCTCGATTTCGTTGTCGGGACTGTAGCACATGTCGTCGTCCGGCTCCTTTAGCATTTGGTCGGCCCATCTTGTCGAAGACGCCGATTCGCCGACACCATGATCCACAGGACAGGCGCCTCCACGAGAAGGAGAACGGCTGCTGGCCGTTCGTGGAGACAAAGAACGGGCGTCCCGCCCATCTGCTGCTACTCCGCTGGCCGTGTTGCCGGCGGCGACTTGCACTTGTCTCTCTCCATCGCAAAGCAGGGTTTCAGGTTGGCAGCCCCGATCCGCCGGAACGGTCGCACCATCCCCGCGCGAGGTCGAGCCGGAGATCGTTGACAATGTGGGTTGAACCTGCAGCGGCGACGTCGGCAATTCGCGGGAACCGGACCTGTAAATCCTGGCCGACGTGACCTTTTTCCCGATCGGGACCGTGACCGTCTCTTCTTCCACCAGGCTGTCGTCGGAGAAGCATTCCATCCCGCTGTCGAACATATCATCTCTGACGGCTTCCTGTCGGGGAACCCGTACATCCGAAACGTCGTGGCGGTCAACAGCGAAGGGCGGAAGGCCTGGTCCGTCTTCGGCCACAGGCGTCTCTTCGCTGCCGCTGGAACTTGCGATCATTGTCTCGGCGAGTTTGGAGTCGTTATCGTTGGCATCGGTGTCGGTGTCGGCGTCGGCGTCGGTGACGATGCGGCCTGGACCCTCGACGGTCGATCGAGCGTTCGCCTTCGGTTGCGCGAGAATTTTCTTTAGGTTTTGAGGGAGAACGAATGACCTTTCGTCTTCGTAGCTCGGGTAACGTATGCTGTACAGATCCTCGTAGAGATGGTTAGGTTGCGTCAACGAGTTACCCGTGACACCACCTGCCTTGAGATCTCCGCTAGCTACCCCAGTGGCGCGGGCGGAAGCCATCCCGTCAGCGTGGCAATCCTACGGGGTGGACAGAGGAACCGGTCGGACCGCCACAAGCGTCGCGATACGGAACAGTTGTGACGGAAACGCGATCAAACCGTGGAAATATACCCGCTAGTCGGAATAGAACTTAGACAACTATGCCACATAGCTGGGGGGAACAGCCGTTCAACGATAACGCACAGAACGAAGGGTTTATCCTGGACAACGAAGCGGCAATAGGATATATGTTTCTCCTGCAAGTTGTCACTCCAGAAGGTATTCGAGTACGTGTCATCCAACGCAACCGGCTTCAGAAGGTAGTCATTCGTGCGATAGATGGCAAACGCACGGGCATGCCTTGTAACAATATAATTTCCTGAATGATGGACTTCTCCGTCAACGGGAGCGCTTCCTTAGAGAGTAGGCACGGCTAATTCGGTTGTACCATACTCAGCCAACACGACATAGTCACTCTCAGACGGTGTTCTTCTCAGCAGGCCAATGTGGAGGCTCCTTTCACGAACTCACTTGATGGACTCGGCGATCCGCTGCACCGCTGCGCCACCGCAACGCCCACCGGCGACGCCCGTCGGGATGCCAGCGCGACAGGCAGAATAGCCCCATCAGCGTGATGAGGCCCATCGAGACGGTAACCAACAGCCAGAACAAGTTCGTGCAGCCACACGGCGTGCACATGGTGAGTTGACGATGCCCCTGAGGGCGGAGGTCCGCGGAGGACATGCCGACCCCACTGCTGCTGCGAAGCACGGAGGCGTTGTCGTCATCCACGTTGGGGTCGCGTCCGAGGAAGCTGCAGTCAGTCTTCTGCTCAAGGGTAGGGGTAGCGAGCAGCGGCAAGCGTTGGGACGAGGGTAGTATCGCACGACAGTCCCCCAAGACAAACTAACATATATACCTCCTACGGCATCTTTCCAAAAGAATACACTTTCGAAGCAGTGGGAGAAAAACCTCTCTGCCTCTACAAGGGTGTGTTTTCGTCCTATTTATTTTGGCGACAGTCTCCATTTTTCGTGGTGAGACGTGTGCTACACTCTCCAAGTGTATTGTATAGTACTACACTGTTCTGTGTATCTCTGCGCACAACTACAACCATCCGGGGTCACGCAGGAGGGGGTCAACACCAGGGTTTTTTTCTTCTTTTTTACATTTTCGTGCCCCACCTTCCTCCAGCGGTGCGCTGAATTTTTTTTATCGCGAAAAGCTAGGGCAGTGACAATATAATGCTCGGTTGCAGGGACAATTTTTTATTTCCGGTCAGATCCCTTTGGGGGTTGGAAGCTGTTTCTACTGCCGGCGTTCTCAACCTCTCTCTGAAAGGACCCCCGGCCGGTGGTCGTACGAGGCCCGCGCCTTGTGTTCAAGGCTGTCTGCAGGTTGGAACGAATCTTTTGCACTTTGAACCCCCACCACCACCACCATTGGCCAACTCAAGGGAGAGTACGGGCTATTCGCTGCATTCCACGGAGTGCGGCGCACCCCGTAGTTGAGACTTTGAACTAAACCGACGATTAGGCGATGGAAATAATTCCTCCCGCGCTAAACTACAGAACGGGCCTGCAATCGAGAGAAATTTTTTCTCGGGGTCGAGACTTCACTTTTTCTTATTTAGCCGCCAGCGTCGAGTGCAGGGTACCGTACGGTAGAGAGCTAATGTTAAGGTCGAGCGCTGAACTGTGGTTCTCAACCCTACTACGCTATTTTTTCGTGAACCTTGACCCTAAGTTTCTCACGGACCTCTGAGCCGACGTGCTAGAATTATGACGTCGGGCAATAGTCCCCTTACTTAGAGAGGAGGGTCGTGGAAATACAGCGTATTACCTCTTGGTCCTCTAACACGACGGTCAACGCGTTTCGGCAAGGGAAGTTGTGGATGCTAATAACTAGGTGGTGAAACACACGGGGAATGGACGACTGCCGCGAACTAGCACCCGGACGCTACCTTTGACCACATGTCATCATGGGCATGCCTCCAACTACATTTTCATGTGGAACAGATGATCGCGCCGTCTTGGTTGCATATTGCCGTGATCTTCAGACACACAACGAGTTTGGCAGATATCGAGCAGATGTTCGTCGTCTACAAACGGAGTCTATTTATGTGATCATGGTTCATACACGTACGCATTGACACGTGTCGAAGAACAGGAACGAGACTAGGCCGACCTAGCCACACAAAAAAAGCACGTGAGGAGCGGGAGAGAGCCCCTAATAGTGCTCACATGCAAGAGCCCCTGGGATGCAAGAAATCGAAAGCTTGGAACACGGTCATATCGCTATCACCGCCACTCGTGCCGTACGACGGGAGACACGGCCAAAACCGGCCACAAAGTGTGTGATTTTGTACGACAATTGGAGCAAGGATACCAACCCAAGATTTTGGCGCATGCTTCCGCTTCTAGTGCGATGCGATGTGATTCATCTGCGGATGAAAAGCCAGAACGACGGCCATTGCGGCGGGGGAGCTACCACCGGTATACCGTGAAGGAGGAAGAAACATGGTAGGGGTGTGTGCAGTAGAATATCTGAACTCACCACTAATAGGAACTCTCCGCGGATGCCTTTGCGTTCCTCGAAAACCACCGCCCCATCTCTTTGCCCCGTCACCCCAACGCCGCGCCCGGTCAAAGCCGCATCCGAATCAACGGAGCACCCCCGGGAAACGGAAACCGTCAGCCCCACCGCAGCGGTGCTCCTGCGATCGGCGGTTTCGTGGGGCGTATTCTTGCGTGGGTGCGACGCCATTGTGCGAAACCATGATTTCTCGATCTCCACCGCCCCGCCCATAGTGTAGAAGGCCGATCCCTCTCCGACTTCTGTGGGAAAAGTCAAATCGAAGCTGGAGCGGGACACCATGACGGTGCTGCGGTTGTTTCCGTCAGAGTAAACCTGGTTGGTAGATGTTTGAGTGAAAAAGGACACAAGGGGCAAACCCACAGGGCGGAATGCAAGTGATTAGTCGGGACAGACGTGCTACTCCGAGATCAGATAGAACGCGCCTTGCGCCAATCGAAGGAGAGTAAACGGACGTGCAACAATGTAGGCGCTTCAAAATTGGGTGTCTTATCAAATTCTTAGACAATCAACAACTTCGCATGCTTTCTACAATTCCTCGGAGGGCAAGAAGTAGAAGGTAATGAATAGAGACCATTTCATGTTTCAAATGTGAACAAAACACCAACGACCATTGAATCTTTCCCCTTTTCCGACGCCCTGGAATATTAAACCTTTCGAAAAACGTGCGAACATTCGGCAATATATGACCTCACTGGTGCCACGCAACTCGCACTAGGACGGAGCTCCTCGACAAACGAACACGTACGGTCTTGATGGCAGGCATCATGTCTACGGAACATCCCCTGCGCTACCGCACTCGACATGCAGCCTCCTCTTCCAGTTTGGGGGCCCCGTGAAGATAGGAGTAAACGTTAAGCATTTGGCAGCCCGGGGAAGACCAGGGTAGGCTCCGTCCCCGCAGAATGTTGGTTCTGTATGTGGTTTTTATTGTTGTTGGCCCCACAGTTTTTTCGTTGGCGCCATGTTGAAATCGATCTTGTCCGCTGCCGACACATTGTGCCTCCTCTCCTTCTCTTCGTCATACAATTGGACGTGTTTCCGTCGTGAAGTCAAACGATGAACAATTTGTCATCAGTCGTGCTGTTTCCTGTGTGGGCTTGTCCCACTTATCTTCTGAACAAGTACCAGTCTAGGCGGTGTCGGCATATGTTGACCAAGCCGGGGTTACACAGGAAGCAAGTGACCCCAGGAACGCTATTGTCATTTTTCGCTTGATTTCTCCCCATCGTTCCTCTAGCGTTGCCTTCATGTTGAAGGCGAGAAGGCTTGAACAGCCCGTTCCCTATGTACCTTAACATGACCCACTGAGCGGTCGCCTTTTTCAATGCTTTCGTTCGTATTTTTATCTCGTACAGGGGTGCCAAGACGCCGATACGTGCCATGTACCGGGTAACTGCGCGGAAAACGAAAAAAGGCCGTGGTCCTGAAAAATATACGCACACCCCGTGTGATTACAAAGCGGCGATGTGGGGTGTATTGAACGCGCACCCCCCAGACTGCGATAGGTGCGATCCTGAACTATTAACAGCGGACGTACACCAGCATGCGTTTGTGTGTACGGCATTGCAGCGACAGGATCACAACGAACACAGTAATCACCAACAGCACTTACAGAAAAAACACATATCGAAAGCAGAGCGGCGAAATACCAAATCCAATGCGTGTTATGTCCGGTGGAGGAGAGGTGTGGTTTGGTGCCACGGGCGAAGAAGGACGTAGTGGCCTACGGGGAATGTACCTTTTCCTGCCAGCCCTCCTTGGCCAGGTACTGGTATCCTACCATTATTCGTAGTACTTCGTTGTGGTCGTTCGGTGTCGGGTGGTTTGTGCGCGTTCTTGGTTAATTGGGTAATGCCGTTACCGGTTTCGAACAAAAAATGGCATGTTGTAGAAATACTAGAACGACGTCCCTTGCACACGATCAACATTTCAGTGCCAAAGTACAACAACATCAGTGGAGCCCATATGATACAAGCCCCCGCCGTACAGAAGTTCCCGCGACAAATTCTGGATACCACTCGTTGTATCGCCCAGCCTTGGGTGCGCGTACCTCTGTGTGAAGTGTATGATACTGTGGGATAGGCAATTACATCCCTTGGAACTTAATTTGTTTCGCACACCGTGTGCCAAGGCCCCGGCCCGCGAAGACCCGTGTTCTTACGATATTGCAGTGCATGGAAAAATAATATTGCAGGTGATATCTGTTCTTACGATATTACCTGCAATACTCACGAAGAGGTAAGGTCATAGGAAAAATAGTGCAGGTCCCACCTTGTGGCCTACATATAGCAGCTTATCCTCAGTATTGTTGACGCGCGACATTAGAAACGGCCAACACGTTTTTCAATCGACCCTCTCTCTCTCTCTCTCTCTCTCTCTCTCTCTCTCTCTCTCTCTCTCTCTGTTCAAGTTGCAGTGCATGCTACGACTTTTCTCGCATTTTTTCAATCGGATGTAGCATAACCACGTCAGAAATGTCACGTCGCCCCCAAGGCGTCGAGGGTATCTTCATGCATGACTCCGGTGTGTCCCTCGGAAATATCGGATGGAAGGTACCCCGATCTTCACGGCCTTGACTCAGCTACCATCGACTTGCGGTAAATTGGCGCGTGTGTGTGTATTGGCCGCCTGGCTTGAATTGTTATTACCGTTCAGCTTCTTGCACAATTCTGGACAGAACATGGCGCCAAGCATCTACACGCTATACCGTATGTATCTGGTATTGACAATCAATGTGAATCCCAAGACAACTCGAGGAGGCCGAGAACACAGTCTCCGAGAACGACACCCACCTAGATTGAGCCTTGGCAGCATAGTAAGATCACGTCAACACGTGTGCGATGCGGCAGTATGCGAGTTCGTCACCACGACTATCCAGGAGAACCTTTGAACGATGCCATAGTCTACCATCTACAAGTAAGTCTATATCCCCGCTCCTTCGAGGCAGTTTTATTCGGTCAAGAACGCCCAGTAACCTTCCTTTTCTCTCTCACCACGCGTCCCTGTAGCGCATTCTCGTTCCACCGGCAATTGGGAGGAGGACGTCCTCCAGAGTAGACCGATGGGGTGTCGACAACGCTACTGTTCTGCATGATAAGATGGCCTGAGTTCCGCACCAAACGCGTTGATCCAATGCACCTATGTTTCCCCAGTGTCCGTTTCCCCTCTCCACCTGGCACTTCGTACATCTCTCCCTGTGCGCCGTTGAGATGGAACCTGATGTTCTCCAGACTAAGCGTCCCCTCGTTCACAAACAGACTTTTAGTGAGGCCCTCCTCCACACGCCCATCATTCTCGATGCCCCAGGCAGAAGAGGCACCAGGGGTGGGTGATTCCGTAAATCCCGTGGGCTTCAGGGCAACGTACACGTTGACCGCCGACCCATCGTCGCCGACCACCTTCACAGATTGGGACGCAGCAATGCGAACGCTCTCCTCGCAGTGGTACTGCCGATAGCCCCGTAGCTGAAGGGTAAGGTCGACGGCGCCATGGCCTCGGGAGGTTGCCCCTTCAACTGTGGCCTTCAAGTCACGACAGTTGTTGATGACTTGCATACATGCCCCCGGCGTAACCAGCAGCGACATCAGAGCCTGGGCTAACAGGGGGACACGAAAGACCATGCTCGACACTGAGAGACCGCTGTCTCTGCAGAGGCCGCCACCCTCGCACATACCGCAGCCCCGACACAAGTGGCAACCTTGCAGACAGCCGTGTACTGCGCTCTAAAGCATCGACTCTTTTGCGGTGCAAGACGGCGAGAATGATAATTACCTAGCATACCGTCCAATATGTATGTTACATGATACGGACTGTTTTTTTTTTTTCTAGATTACTCGCCACGTCGTATACTGTAGATGCAAAAAGATATGAACGGCAGGATTCACCCATCCATTGCCGTCTTTTCATAGCAACGAACGATTCGGAACACAAGTCGCATGATCGATACCCTTACACCGCACACCCTATTCAGCGTATTCGATGTTCGGATTGATTCACTCACATCACACTTTTCGCGCCCAGCAGCATTGATCTGAGCATTTGAGCCTGGCAGGCCCAGAAACACGGCGGGACTGTCAGAAATTCTGCGCTACAGTACTGTAATTTGCTTTGTCCACCAGCATCTCTCACACCATAGGACGCATCGAAGAAGACCGATTGCGGTGCGTCGTTACAACATCGACATCGCGCCTGCCGCGGCCCGTTCGACGTCTATGGGATGCGATGCTGTCGGATGCCTGACGCCCTCGCCAGATTGAACTCTACTTAATCCGACAGCAGACCGACTCCTGTTGGTGACGCAAGATACCACTCGCCCTAGAGTGATTTTGCAACGATCGAGTTTTGCCAGGACGAACGAAGAGGATGCATACACGACACGATACGCTTTCGGACAGCTTTCGGCGAGAGATCTTCAAGGCGCCTTTTTCGGCACTGCCACTCTCTTTGAGCTGTGGAACAATCGAGGGTTGCAAATCGGTCAAGGTGGAGTGATATTTTATGTCAGCAACATCCGAGAGTGAAAAGTTCTCACACAGCAGCAGCATATCGGTTTGTACGCAGCAGCAAGGGCGAACACATGCAGCAGGTGTGTGCGCGCATCTATATATATCACGCAGCTCTTAAATTGTGTGGCATTCACGGCTACTGCTAGAGCCACTGCTGTCCCGCCAACGAACTCTTTGGCAACCATCAAGCCACAAGGATATATTGGTTGTCTCGCATTGAAAATTGTTCCTATGTATGTACAGCCGGTGCTGAGCTCTCAATTTCATATAGTTAGCGCGCCCGCAATTAAGAAATATTTTGGTAAGAAATTGAGGCTCGCTTTTTCACGAAAAATAAGATAATAGGGTTCAGAAACATAGCTCAGTCTAGGTCACACAATAAGAAATGTCTCCATAAGAAAAACAGCAGCGACCGCTGCCCTACTACATAAGAATCGAGGGGTTAAGGGGAATTGTCGAATAAGAAACAAACCCCACAGCTCTCTCGCTCTTCCCCCCTCTCCCCCTCCTCCCCCCTCCCATAGTGCAATATTCTTAGTTGTACGCCGAGGGGGGAGTGTTTTTTTTTGCGGCGCCCCTCCGGCCCCCTGCGGGCGCTGCGCTCTGCTCTGCTGGCGCTAAAGCTCTGATTTTCGTTGTTGGCATGTCAGCGTGCGGGTGAGGCATCAATGCGTGCGGTGTTTATGCATTTGTTTAGTTTCAGCCCTCACTCATGAGAACCTTGTAGCGATAGCAAGACGTTGCCGTCGAATAGATTTCGCTTCTAGGGAGTGGCCTTACGTGCAGCCGTCGGCAGTGAGAATCGGGGTTGACTACGGGAGGCGAGGAAAGCAGAGAAATAAGAAATTGCCGATTTAAGAAATGCAGTAGGAATTGGCTGCACGCATAAATAAGAAACATGATACAAGAAACTGAACGACATACGCTGAGTTTATAGCCCACAAAAATAAGAATTCTGGACCTGAAATAAGCGCTTCTTAATTGCGGGCGCTAACTGTAGGGGACATCGTCACAAGACATATGTGCTCAGATTCTTGAATCTGGCCAAATGGGCAAATGAAAACGACAAATATGTTGGTGTTATTACACGAAAATTGGGCACCGCCGCCGGGCCACACAAAAGTATTTCTAATAGCTTAGAAATCGCCTGCCTTTGCTCGACCGGTAGACCCTGCATGGCCTTAATTAAACCTTGTTGATGATAGGCGTTTCTAGTGAGCGGGCCGGCACTGCTGCACCTCAAAACATTTACTGTTCCAACTATCTGGCGGGGAACTTCAGTTGTAGTCTACTGGCGAAAAGTAAGTGGTAACAAGAAACGTGACGTGCAACGGAGGAAGATCACGTTCGATTGTTGAGGAGAGCTCGTCGGCCAAAGGTTGCCAAACCTAGCTAATATCATGTCGGTTGGCGGACTGAACATGAGCCACCGAATCGCATTTATTTCACGATCGAGTACGGTCGGTCATGAATCGGACTGCCCGACCCATGAACAGGTTCACAGTATAGTATCTTGTTTGGCAGTTCATTCGATGGTAGAGATCCCAAAACGATCTTCTCGAAAACAATGTTTTCAAAGCTGCCCATGTGGATGCAATGTTGTGTTCTTCCTACGATTATTTTTTGGCGAGAAAACCCAAGCCAATGATTAATGGACGAATTCCTAGAGCCGGGAAGTGCGTTGACATATGCAAACCATAAGAAAACAAAAATCGACCAGGGCCCATAAGAAGAGAACCCGCATTCCGAAGCATTGAATCACTGGTTGCTCTTACTCAGGGCCTCTGTCGCCACCGGCACCAGTCTACAGTAGAAGGGGATGTTGCACTACCCGAGCCTTCGACTTTTCCACCGCCGTCTCATCCTTTTGGTCAAACTCGACAAACGCCAAGTATTGTCAAGAGAGTCACTGTCAGTACCCGCTGTTCCTATCCTCGAAAAGCTAGAGCTTGGACCAGGCCGGCCTAGGGAGCTAGAATATCGTTTCACGCGGGTTGAGTGCCCCCCCCCCAAAGAAACCTGAAAACGAAAAAATGCATCACAACTCCCAGCTACCTCCGAAGGTATTGGTCGGCCCCTCAAACCATGCCGGGTAGTCGTTCAGTTGGATGCAACCGTAGAATGCCGCCGCCCCGAGAAACCCGCCGATGAGCGGTCCCACGACGGGCACAAAGGCGTAGTACCACTCGGATGGGCCCTGGGTATAAGCGTAAAGCAAACGTCGTACGCGGCGAATTAGATTTTCGAAAAAAAGTTAACCGTGGCAGACACAGACAAAGGGTGTGAAGCCGACCTTGGTTGCAGTTCACCGACAAAAAAATAGAGGTTTGCTCGGTGGCGGCCTTCACGTAGATACACACCTGGTACCCAGCTCAAGCATCAAGGCATTTTGGCGCGGTTAACAGTATGCTTCAAGGCGAACACATTGTAAAGAGCTTAACCTGAAACGTGCAACGAATGGTGGCCTGTCGCCTTGGCTTACTTTAACAACACATGGAATGGCCCGGAGGCACTCTTTCCGGGACGCAACACCTACCTACCATGCTTTTTGGGGGCCTAAACGTTAGGTATGATCTCGGTCTGACCAGTCATCGATGTGAAAGTTAGCTTATCGTTGAAATTGGCGTTCAACATGCCACTTCATCGCATTCGATGAACAGAAGAGAAGGTAACTGGACGCGGGCTCCGAACTGGCGACGATGCCAATGATTTCATCGACCATCCCAAAAGTATTATGCACCTAGTCGAGTCGTGGACCTCTGGACAAGCAACGACGGTATGCTTGCAGCAACACCAGATTCGAGTTAGGTTCATGACAGGTGACGTACGCGGCCTCCGAGAGTACAGCGTCAAACAAGCAAGAGCGCAAGAGTTCCATCTCGCCCTCAAGCTGCGATTCGATTCCATTACCTTGTTCGGGATGGGGAGTACAAAGTGCGCGATTCGAGGCCCCAGGTCTCTCGCGGGATTCGACGCGTAGCCTGTTGGACCCGCCATTGCTGTCACTAGACCTAACACCTGGCATTTGGAATCGAGAGTTGCTTCTGGAAAAGGTGGTAGTGGATGACATATGTTGATGGCGTAGGTTCGAGGTGCCTTTCCTATTGTTCCACCGGTTCTTCAAGAGGATGTTCAAGAATGTGAATCACCTACCACAGCCTGGGAGGGTGTCCGGATATATGAGGTTGAGAATCTCTTGCCACACCAGCTGATTCACTACCCAAGTAGCCGTGATCACCAGAACGGCAAAAGTGCACGAATTTCGGCGAGAACATGTGTTCCTGCAGATAAAACTCGCCCAGCCCGTCTCAACCGTTGTACTTGCAGCGGATAAAGCAGTGGATGTGCATCAGAAACAATGATTAAGATAAACAGCAGCAGCCTAAAGCTACATCCAACGCCTGTGACTAGGAGAGAACAATGGCGCGAACGGTGCCTCAATATTTTTCCGAGATTGTGCATGCGCTCACCAGAAAGCCGATGAGAAGGGGACCCAGAATGGGCATGAGGTTGTCCGCCGCTTCCGGTGTTTCCAGGAGGTTGACTCGTTCCTCCAGCATCAGTGCGGACCAAATAAGGGCAAACGTACCAATTATCTCGGCAACCTGGTCAACGTTGTCGGGACCAAAGGTGGCTGCTTCATACAACGCTGCGGCCGACCCGGAAACCTAGTCAATTGAACAGGTATTCCATGTAGGGACGGATCATTCTCGAGTTCGATTGTTTTGTCTGGGCCACGCGGGTTTCTACGGTGACATGAACAGCCGAACCTGGCCAAACCTTATCCCTCCTAGAACACAGGTTCAAGTGAACTGTCGACAATAACCAAAAGAACGATCTGGTCCCAAAGAGCCAACCCCGAATTCGGAAAGCTTATCCTGGGTCACTACTCGGGAGTTTCACCCACCATGAAAGAACCTCGAGCAACAGTTCAGCAGCCGATAAAGTGCCCTATTGTACGTATCGAGTACAAGCCCAACCCACATAGTCGCAGTCTTTCCATCATTCACCGTGTTGGCAGCGTAGTTGAGAACAGCGGGTCGGGAGGCGAAGGCGGCCAGCTTCGCGTTTTGATCCGCGATCAGCATGCCGCGATACACCGCCACGTCCTTCTTGGTGATGCCGTCCCTGCACCAGCGGCGGTTGTGTCGTCGTTCTCTCACATCACAGATGTCTTCCACGAAGCAGAGGCCACCGACTATTTCCTTTTAACAGAATATTAAAATCGTTTCCAACCTTCACACAGAAACACAGGGGGAATAACGCCAGTCGATAGAGTTCTTCGCGCCGTATGCCAAACCCTATCGCGAGTTTGGTCATGAACTAGGAGTATGCATGGGGTGAAACGAGAGTAGATGTGGGTCCAACGCCGTCAAGAGCCGGCCTGGTGCGCTTCTTCCTCCTCTGGCCTTCGAACAAGAGGTATTACCATGGGTGCCCCCGACACGGCGTTTCCAAGTGACATCACGACACTTGCGGAACGGGGCGCGCCGTTCGAAAGCATAGAGATGGGAGTGATGAATGCCATATGTGCGGGTGGTGGCCACGTGATCAAAATTCTGGCCCGGGCTTGCTGTCTCTGCAACTCAACGTGACTGCGCTCCCCAAGCATGCCACGAAGGCTGCCGGGATTATAGAGCCTCGAGCGGGGAACCGGGCCAAGAGCGCGATGACATACTTTGACAACCGCGCAACGCTGTAGCTCTGCGAAAACACATTCTGGTGTACGCCGTCGTCGTTGAGGGGGCCCACCGACGCATGGCTCCATATCAGGCTATGGCGTGGCTGACGCCTAGAGGCAGGGCAGCGGGCGAAAACAAGTACCTTTCTAGCTGAGAAATAAGCTCCTGGTTTTCCAGCTCTGCGCGTTCCATACGCGCAATCCCAGAAAAGAAGCCGGATAGGGAAGGGGGACGCCTGGGCGACTTCGTGGAAACCCGGGAGGCCTCGTGCAGCTGCACTCCTCCGAACTTGATCCCTGCGACCTGGCATAGATGGGCGTTGAGGGACGGGGAAACAACGGTGTTTTACCGTGTAGCAACAGCGATCTGGAACCCTCTGTCAGGCCGAATTTCCAACTTTTTGCGCTATCATTTTATGCTCGCGGATGTGGGTTTTTCGATGGTGCCCAGCTTTGTTCGTTCAGCTGTACGCCCACAATCTGGAGATAGTATCTCTGAGCACAAACGTTTGGGTTGCGAATATGTGCTACAGCCGATGCATGACGTGTTGCTTGTCCGGCATGACCTGTGCACATATCTACAACCTCTTGACATGCTTTGCCCCTGAGGACGAAACAGTTGGATTTGAGAGTGTCGGTGGAAACAACAATTAGAAAAGGCCCCTAGAGCAGCAACTGTTTGAGGAATGGGGTTTGGAGCAACAGAAACCAGCACGTTGAAATTGCCATGGAACGTTTTCAACTCATGGAATACAACAGAGTTCACGCACGTGTCTCGAGTACGCACCCCAAAGAAACCCCCAAGATGTACCAAACAAAATGTACCACAACGTTTAGATTCAACGTATTAACGACTCTCCCACAAAGTTGAGAGCTCATGTCCCAACCTGTACATTCCAAAGAACATACCCCTTTCGATAAAAGCTGCTCTTGCGTATCTTTACCTGCCTAAGCCGTAGCCCCGTGCGCGGAGTTCTCTCAGACTGCACCACAGGGGCGCAATCCTCCGCCCCCCGACCTTGGTCACTGTAGTAGTCGCCGTCTTGCTCGAGCGATTCCCCCGAGAGCACCTGCAGAGGTACGTCGACGGACGAAGAGCAGCGGGTGAAGGCCCGCAAAAACAATACACTGGCACATAGGATTGGAGGTATTCATTTGGTCGCCCTAACACCGGCTCGCTGCACCTCTAAAACGCAAGAGACAGATTTTCCTTGGGCGTGAACGAATCGAGCCTCTTCAACGAAATCATTTTTTGTCCTGCACCGATCGGTTTCAGAAACTCGCAATCTTCACGCTCAAAGAGAGCTGCCGCCGAAGGAGTGGAACCTATTGTTTCGATTAACCAACCGCCAAACGACTACCCACCGCGGGCGGGAAATGCAGCACCGGGTGTTCTGCGGGATATATGAGGTTCATCGCAGGAACCATGGGATCCCCTCTGTGCCATTCGAAGAGGAATCGTACATGAACGAGCATCAAAGCTCACCCGGTTCAATCCTCGCGATGAAGATCGCGCTCGATCCGCTTGCTGGGTCTCAGCCAAATCGACTCTGGAGCGATGCTCGTCGTGGCACTCGGCACTCGGTTCTTCCGTTCCTTCCCAGCCGGCCCCGTAGACAGGGTCTCTTGCTTTGTCGTGCTCGTGAAGCATGGTGCCAACCTGTGTGTGGCGGTGGAGTTCCAACCCATGCGCAAGAACGCAAACAACAAGTGACGTGCAACCACAGCGAAAAAGTGGCGCACCCAAGGGGTAGCGGAGTAATGAGAGCTGAACAACAGCTCTGTGTACGTGAGGGGAACAGCGGATATCCCTGCTGTGTAGGAAGATAGCCCGCCGTTGCAAATGGGGCCTCCGAACTTCGCCACCTATAGGGAGATGAGGCGCTACACATTACGGCGCTTACGCGGGTATCGCGTAAACGGATGCACAAAGTCGTGTACGTGTGTTTCAACACGTTTCTTGAAAATCGTTCAACTATTGCCAAATATGCTTCATTTCATTCAGCGAAAACCCGAAATAAAAGCGGCTACACTTGCGAATGAGGAACGACCTCGTGAAGAAAATCTAGGCCTTTACCAAACCCCACATATATTGGCCTCGGTAGTACTCGAACGAAGACAAGCCTGCTCGCAACGACTGTACCGCAAGATTACTGGCAAGCTCTTCGGATTTTTTCCCCGTCCTTACCTGGATACTGTTGGACCTTTCCGCGTGGGGGAACGAATTCGAGTTGCAAGCCTTGTCGCCATTTCCCGAGGCTTCGGTCGGCCTGTACCTGAACACGACCTTTCGTCTTTCCTGAGCACGGAAAACACAGCGGGCGACGGTGCACGTTTTGTGTGCCCAAAGCAGCAACTCGGCACGTGGCTATTGCGTCCACACGTTCGTCAAACTTAAGCATTGCCATACAGACGTTTACAAATCGAGTCAACACAGTCGTGAGACCCGCCCCTGGATCTGGTTACATGCGCCCTCGCAAACCCGAAGCCCGCAAAAAACAGCGCATAATTAGGGCGTGTCCGGCATCGTGACACCACGGAATGGCCTACGCACTCCCTTGACACGCAGTCTGCTGGCGATGATGGATTATTGTAGTCTCGCTGGGAGGTTAGGGGTTGATGAAGCGTACCTCGTTCGAGAGGGTCCGATGACGGGGTTCGTACGATATGTAGGCGTTTCTGGTGTGGGTGGGCGGCGCGTACGACGAGTCGACGAAGGCGTCGTCCCAACGAGGTGGGCTCGGCCTCTCCGGCACGATGCTGAAGTGCGCAAAACTGTTTGGTTTAGGGCGAAAAACGAAGTCGAGCAAACAATGAGATAAGAACGGGATGAAACCTATTCTTAAGCTCAATAAAGCAAGCTGTTTGGGGAATCGGAATTTTAAGCTAGGAACAAGCCCAAGCAGAAAAAATTCGGCGGTGGCTTTGGGTTCCAGATGAGGACGGACCTGTTTCGCGCAGAGGGAACGTAGGTTGGCGTTTACATCCACCACGCGTGTTCAAGACCTCATAATTGAGGAAATATATCAATTCCTCACGTGGGGCTTAAACAAGGGCATTCGTCCAATGAAAAAACGGTGAGAGGGTGAGCCAACAATCGGATAGGTTCAGCGGTAGAGACGTAAGGCGGATATCATCCGGACACGTCCGAAATATTGTGACAACAATCCTTCTTTGAGCAGTTACACCTTCGCCGCATGCAGCCCCCCTGGACCGCCGACAACTTTGTGAAGGCCCCCCGGGCATGGACTCCATCTCGGTGGGACATTAAAACCTCACACGCGAGAGCAATCGTTTGGCTTGGGCTCTCAGTGTTGGTATTTTTTTCGCTGTCGTACGCGAGCGAAAAGTTGCGTTTCGGGAATCGTTGGGTCGTACGACACTTAATGGGTTGGAATAGCCCATTTAGGCATGCGAGCCAGCGACGAAAATATTGGCGGTACATACGGGATTTTACGCATCACACCGGTTTCGAACGCATAATGATAACCAATATTCCTGCCTCCTCTTCCGTGCTGTCATTTTGATTTGAAACAAGGGACATAGCGACCAGCTTAGCTGGAGATGTGAAACGCCTAGCTGGCTAGCTGGAGATTGGGCCCGGCCCCAATATTCTTCGACAACAAACCGCTTTCCAAGAGGCCCAGCTCTAAAACAGTTGCCACACAAACACGAACGCCAGGTAGATACTGAACCCAAGAAAATAACCGTGTCAGATGCGGTCATTAACTTGGCGTGCATTACATGTCCTTGACTTCCTCCCAGTTTCTGCCCCCCTCCCGTCTGCTCCGAAGAACCCAATGCTTCTCAAAATATTTCGCACGCTTGACTTACTATAGGCCGTAGACAACGACACCGCCTAGGAATCCTCCGAGAATGTTCGCCACCGACAGTGCCAGAGCGTCCTTCCATGCCAATCGACCCAGGAATGCCTTGGCGACGAGCATGGCGGGATTCACCTGCGGGACCATAGCACCGACGGTCCACCGGGGGCTAGAGATGTAAACGAATGAACTGGGGGGCACGCCAAGGCTAACGATGGTAATGTGGCGCATTTTCGAAGCGTGCCACGAGGGGGCGGCGGCTTGCCTCGATAACAGATCGAACGCAATTGAGACAACCATCCCAACTTCATCTGATTGTGTGATAGTACTTCCCGCTCGAAACGCCAAACATCCAAATTCCTTGACGACGGTGAGGGTAGAAAAGACAAGCAAGCGATTACATTGGCACTGATGTGGCCGAACATGGAGATAGCCAGGAAGAAGGCCATGCCGAACGCAATCGCGACGAACCCCAGCCCCAAAGCATGGCCCTTCGTCTTCTTCAGCACTTCGTTGGCGATCGCTCCGTTGCCGACGGCGATGACAATCGCCATGCCAAGCGTCTCCGAAATGAACCTTTTTCGTCATGAAACGGGTAGGAGGGTGTAGCGTTCGGTGTATACTTCTTCGTGCTTGGTTTGGTTGTGCCGTTCGGATCAGCGCTTGGTAGAAAAAAAAGGGGGTTATATCATAACTTCGTAGACTGACATATTTAAATTTACCGCTCTTCCAGCTGGCAAACCACTCAAAGCTACGTGTCCACCTCGCTCCTTGTCTCTGCGTTGCTCTCGCTAGTCGTCGTAAGGACTCTTTATTTGAAAACCTAGATTCGACAGAGTGCTCGAGGTGCGGCTTCACCCGGTCTCTCGTTCGCGGGGCTCGTACTTTTGTGAGAATTTTCTCATACCCTACCAACGACATAACAATTCGCTTGCTTACAATAAACCTTGAATTGAAGTCTCGCCAATGCGGCACACACTATTGGAGGCATGCTTCCGTGTGCAGGACTATTTGAGGCTCCCCTCCCATACATAGGGGTCCACAAAAATAAATTAAAATATATCGAGCGAACTCCCCTCCCATACATAGGGGTCCACAAAAATAAATTAAAATATATCGAGAGAAGCGCGAAAAGAAGGGTCGGAGAGAGACATCAAAGCAAGCGTAGATAGATATAGATGGAGCCCATGCCACCACGTAGGTCACCAATGCGCACGCTTACACCTCACCCGGTACCACCAGTCAGTCAGGGGATGAACGGGAGCGCTGTTTAGCTCTCATCATCAGCTCAGCGGCAACAGTGCTGCTGCTGCTGCTGCTTGCTGTTGTTGCCGCCGCCGCTGCTGCTGCTGTGCATGGGTGCGCACTTGCTTTCTTCGCTTTCGCTACTATTATATAATAGTAGAGGGCAACGGGCTCTAACAATTGGCCCGGTCCCCTCCCACGACGTGTTTATTTAGTCGCCCTTGGCTTACAGCGCTGTGTACGTCTCACTTGTCTTTGTTTCTGGGTGCGTCTGTTGTGGAAGCAAAGATCGGCCGGCAGACGAAGAGACCGCAGACAGAGACCTGACTTGTGTGGACCCGCATGTTCCCTCGCTGACGCTGCTAGCAGTAGGCCTCGGGGTCTAAAAATAGCTTCCGACGCCAGCCATGTGTGCCATTGGCCGGCCGGCCTTGGCCTACAGCAGTGTGTAGGCCTCGTTTTCTCTGTTGTGGGGATGCGTCTGTACGGGAAGCTCCAAAGATCGGTAGGTTGAGGGTGATGCAGGCGGACCTCGGATTGACTTGCGTCGTAACTCGCATGTGCTGCCGACAGCAGGCAACGGGCTGCAAGAGCCATACCCAACGCCTCCCATGATGTGTGCCTTTGGCTGCCCTTGGCCTACAGCAGTCCGGCAGTCCGTATGCTGCTGTGCTGATTGTATCGTATGTTGTCTACGTGATGTGTATGTATGGTGCTGCTGGGCAAGAGGATTTCGGTGATTCTGCCGAGAGCGTCGTGCCCATCGCCCAATCATCTGCCTCTGTCTTACAAAATGTCTCCAAAATCGACGGGTGATTGGTGGGAGATGGGCATCTACCCGGCTCTACTCCTCTAAAACACAGATAATTGTTGGATGCCCTGTTTGAGAGAGCTACGCCTGCATACTCTAACCCCGCAAGACAGCGGGTACAAGTTCGGGAACAGAAATTATCCATCACTAGGCAAACATATATTGGGCAGTCCGAGCGTGATCTCTAGGTTATGCTACCAGATACTTTGTTGGGGGTAGTTGGCTTGCCACGGAAGGCGTCCCCGTCAGTTGGACAGGTACCAGAGTATTGTACGGACATGAGAAGGTACTGAGCGGAGACCGGAATGGCTTTATGTGAAGACAACAACAACAATCTATTGGAAGGCGATATTTTCACTCCGAATTCACGACTACAATCTCGAGTCAGACGCGGCCATTTGGGTGGACTGTCCACGCCATCTGCACTGCCCCCTGTACCTACCATTGGTCTGCCTCCTTTTTCCAAGTTGTAGGGATCTACAGCAGTCATAACCACCGCAGCACCAAAGGAGTTCCCGGCGAGTCCTGCTGTGGATCCTACTACAGCAAATGACTACAGTAGTTGACGTTCACCCTCCTCACGTAGACTTTTCGTGGATCGTTCGGCAGTGTCTGTTGGGCACGTATTGCCCGACTCCTAAGAGGGGCCATCTCACCTTTTCCACAAGTCGGCCATCGTGCAGGGCCGCGCGCAAGGCAGTGTAGCTGAGCCGTGCTCCAGTTGTTGCACACAAGGGAGGAGGTTTTGTTGCTGCTACTCGATGTCTTGTGTGGGAGCAAGGATAGGACCGACTGCGAATCAGCAGCCGAAAATCCCGCTGGCCTTGTTGGCTAACACGAAGCGTTCAGGGCACTGCTGTATGCTGCCGTGAGTGCCAGCAGAGAGGTCAGCAGGAAGCCAGTTTGATGCAAGAGCCAGATTCAGCTTGGTTCAGCTTGGTTCAGCGCCATATTGTTACCTTTCGACTTTCGACACATTGAGAGATTCATCCGCATTGCACGTTGTGTGAGGACGCTGGGCGGCATCTCCAGAGTCGGCGATCTGTTCCGCACGTCGGACTCACGCACCTGCTACGGTTATAAGATGCAACCTTTGGAAGAAACCGCTGCTTCGTACATGCATTGCTTGGCCAGTGAAACCTGGCGACGTGGGGCGAACATGCACCCGGCCGTCGGAATCATTCCATTCTGCACAGTCTCTATGTACATCGCAGTACATCCATACCATGGGATGCCACTCGTTCTTTGCCAATATTTTTACGCCACTGTTTTGTGTGTGTCAAAGTTCCCAGGTGTGGGTTTCTTGTGAGTGTGTTTCAATTGATTTGTGGACCGGGAACTGTACGAAGCGATGACAGGAGCCCGGTTACTTGCGCTGGTACAATAGACACAAGTGCATTGACCGTACCAGTGTATCTTCACAGTACTGGTAGTACACAAAAAACATTCTGTAGTGCCAGAGGTTGGTTCCGGATACACAGCATCATTCTCAGGGCACCGTTTGGCCTACGGTACTTAGATTGCATTCTCATCCTACAAAAAAGTCTTCTGTTTCTCCACCGCGGGGCCTTCGCCTTGCCCACGTTGCATGAGCTTGCCTGATGGGCGAGATTGGGCGGATAAGGCCCGGGAGAACCGAGTGCCCGCGGTTTTGATTTCGCTTCGGCGGCACGTTTCCACACACATAGCACTGCAAATATTTTCCCCCATTCTCCTGCTACAAAGGGCTTCCCATTGTCGAGCTTTCACACTCGCGGTAACTTCCCGGGCCTGGAATCTTCCCTGTAGGTCCCGCATCCTTCCAGGACGACCTCTGCACTTTCACCCCCTTTTACAGTAAGCCGGAAGCGGCTGCGGTACAAGACATTGTGCTTCGGCGCAAATACGACCTGAAACGCAATGCGAAAATAGTTTGGTTTTGATGCGGCACCAGAGAGACAGAGACAGAGAGGGGGCGGAGGGGTTAGCAGAAAATGGAAGAGTGTTTGTCAGCCTACAAACCACATGCTCCCTGTTGTCTTGGTAATAAGACGTACATGGCTGCAATGGTGGTGCATAAGTGCAGTCAACGTGTATGACGATCTTGATTGTTCCGCAAGTTTCAAAATGTCGTGGTGCATCGTACGCATCCCCACCTCTAGTGGTCGCGGTGCTCTGTACCCCTCCGTAGTTTCCTCCTTCCGCGTGAGGAAAGTTTCGAGCTTGAGTGTGGGCCCGACCACCTGGCGCTGCCCGTGCGGCTCATTTCGCCAGACGACAGCGGCAGACATGGCTGGACGTGCCCCTGGAACAAGGGGAAAATTATCCATCGCTGAATTGCGAAGAATTAAGGCTGTATCCGGAACTTATGGATTACTCCAAGGCACTGGGCCGAATGTTCCATTGGAGTCGTACAAGGTGCATTGCACAGGACGTTGATATGTTACGCAAAACCCTTGCCAGAAAACGTAAGAAATATACTATTCACACGTAAGCTCGATGCCTGTACGCCTCATATCTTTGCGTACGGATCTGCGACGGGAACCTTCAACAGATCTGCCATGTGAATTTTTTTTTATCTCCTTGCCCCCCCACCCATTTTCTCAGTACTATGGGCGTTCTCTTGTGCTTCAATGCTCGCTCGATGCATGGAATACGAGCTCTGAGCATGAAGGAATGGAGTACCAAATCTTGTTCGGGGCAAACATCCTCTTCTCAGCTATTAATCGTGAGGCGTTGTTGGTGTCGGGATGTCCATCTATGGTACTTTTCCTCCTGCCCTTGAAACACCCCTCAAAGCTCGACTGCTCACCTGTCCCCGCCGGCGACAAAGTATTGGGGAGTTCTCGTCTTTGGGAGTGGAAGCTCCCTTGTGGTGGCGGGCCGTAGGGGTGGTTCTGACAGGAACGGCGGCCCAGTTCTTGAGCCGGGTAGTGAACGGAGCAGCAGTCGATCACGCCTCCCCAGGTGACCCGTGAAGGCTGCTGTGGCCAGCATGCGTTCTATAGGCGGGAAAGCAAGTGAAAGGAGAGAACATGAGTGTGCCACCCGGCGAAACTATGGAGAGAGTTAAGAGCATCAGTAGCAGAGGAAAAGGAGAACAACCAAACTGCGACGGAGCGAGAGAAAGGCAATGTGTACCATGGTGTATGGCTTTGATTTGTTGACAAGTCCTCAGGGTTTGAGATTTTCCCGGACGTGGCCTGGAAAAATGAATGCTGTTTCGCTCATGCTACGTCCTTACATCAACCGCTGTCAACCTTGCCAGCACGCACATCTCGCTTTAGCTCAGCCAACAGGGCAGAGTTCAAGGTGGGCGAGAGAGCCACAACAGTATTTCCAGGGTGTAGCGGTAAAATAAACACATTCGAGCCCTCGTGGCTTGGGACTTTCCACTCACCTCGAAGCGGTTCCAGTCCTCGGGCAGGCACGCCGCTGAGGACTTCAGCGGCAGCTTGACTCCTGTCAGGACCCCTCCCTCCTCGCCGAACACGAACACGGAAGGGTCGTCGACCACCAACGGATTGAATAGCCCCGCTACCGAACTGCAGCCGCTGCTGCCGCTCCCGTCCGTGCCCCCCGGTTTCCCGGTATGCCTCCCTTTGACGTAAGCCCCTGATGCTGCCCTCGCAGGGTTGCTTGTAGGTGTGGTTCCGGTGGCGGTGGCCTTGTCGGCGTTGTTGCTGTGGATAAGGCGCTTTTTCGGGGGAGGGGCAGGGATGTGGACCAACGACCACTCTGCGTCGGCGAAGGTGGGATTTCCTAGGAATAGGGTAGCGTTTCCCCTTCTTTCGGTGTGGATGGTCCCGAAAGAGTGCGTCGCCGGTGCCACGGTGATCATCGGTCGCAACACCTTGGCACGGAAAAAGAAGAAAAAAATAGAGGACGAGGACCAAATGATGTCGCTGTGAGGTCAACGTCGTAGCCGTATCTTGCCCAACAGGAAATAAATTTTCACGATATCCTGCGCAGTGTTCGGCAACGTGTGGTTCCTTTTGTCCGTTGTTTTTGACTACCTTCATGATAGTTTCTCTGAAGTGGCGCAGAACACGGAATTTCGCGGTATTCAGCACTGCAGCAGTTCTTTTTCCGCGTTGAATCGGAACGTGTCGGAGGCCGTACTCACTTCGCCCCTCAGAAAGATCCTCTGCACGTGTCCAGTGCAGAATGCGATGGTAAGCTCGCCCGTCGTTCTTAGCACCAGCCGTGGGATGCCCTTAGAATGGTACAAGGAAAAGGCACGTCAAAATGGGAATCAGACGGTTAGGGTGACGGAGAGCTTCCCAGCAACCTTAGGTCAAAGTGAACCCGGCACATACCGAGTCACAGCCTTTCGGCAGAATTCTGCACAGGAGGAAGCTTAGCGTTTGCGACCACCATGAACTTGGAATTCCAGATACGCCAGCTCTTATAGTACTTCAGGGAATGCGGTTCTAATGGTTTTCTGGTAAGTGTTTCTGATAACGGGGATCGAAGTCGCCCCCGCCTATTGCAACCGTGACAAGCAAGCTGGCGTTTCTTCGAAACTGTACCTAGAAAAATAATGAGTTCAAAGCGATTTTACGAAAACACAACACTGGAAACTACGACTGCAGCAAGAAGGGGACGCAGAGCCAACTATTCACGTCATCACCACGACCGACACTGGGGCCCTGACCAATGCGTCAAGTGCCGGAGTATTACCTCTGTACCAGGAGAAAAAGACGACTTGAGGCATTCCAGCATCTTCGCCGACGCCCTCAAAGGTAAAAACACCACCTCCAGCTGACGGTTCTGCCCCGGCAGCAGCGAAATCAGATCGTTAGTTCGCCGATGTTGGCGCTCTGGGCGGTGCTGCTTTTGGTGTTGGTTGTGATCTTGTGTGTCCATCACCGATGCCGTTCTTTGACCTCTGTTCGCGCAGCTAGCGCCATCGCCGGCTCTCCTGCGTTTAGGGGATCTCATCGCTTGGTTATGGTTGTCGGCGAGTTGTGACTGTTGTCGTCGTCTTCCCTGGCATCTGGCGTCGTCGCCGCCGCCTCCACCGCCGCTGAGTTGTGTTTCGAAGGAGGTCTTGCCGCTGTTGAGGCGCTTCTTGGGGGGGCAGCGGTTGATGACGAATGGGCCGCTGGTTTCCACTCGAAAGGACACCGGTATCGTGAGCGGGTTGCTCAGACTTATCTGCAAGAAACCAGCGGACGGTTGAGGGAGGTATTGATTTTCGTTTGATGTGGACATACGGATATCGCAGGATGTTGGAGTGGGTCTTTCCAACAGTTTGCCCGATATGCACGTTCCTCTTTGTTGTGTTTTCGATAATTACCAACAAGGTGCTCTCCAAATGGTATGCGTACCTGCGTATTACCCGCAATAGAGTAAATGGGTGGAGCTAGCAATTTTTTTCTGCCAATGAAGCGTATGCAAGGGGCTGATATTCTCTCTTGTATTCCGAGGAAGGAAAGTACTTTCCGCTCCAAACGAAACCTTTACTGCAAACGGTACCGGTCATCTCCTGTCTAACGCCTGCCTATACTCGACCTGCAACGCACGACACTAGTCATGTTGAATGCACCGCGCGAGATAGCTGCCTCTACCATTAGCACCCGTTCCGAGTTTTGGCCCTTCATTCCAACCTGTTCGAGCACTCAGACACAAAACAAAACAACCACATTTTACAGGTACTGATGTGTTCAAAGTTCTTAAGAGCGCTTGGAGATCGCTCTGCGCTCGTGCCGGCCCGTGCCTCCCTACATCACAACCCTCGCAGCTCGCCTGTCGCCGCATGGACGGGTGAGCTGCCCAGGGCGAAGACGCTGCCGATGCTCTCGTTGACCAGGATTCAAACTTGAGGAACTGTTGCCCCCCTCCTCCTGCCCCTCCACCGCCGGCACCATCACGAGTAGCACCCGTGGCTCCGACGTCTAGCCCAGTCCTGGCCGCAACACCGGCAGACGAAGCACCACCACCGCCGCCAACGTCGTGCTGGAGGGAGGCGTGCGTCTTCTTGTCGAGGGCGAGGCGGGGCTCGATCCCCCAGGCGGTGGCCTTGAGCACGACGGCCCCGTTGGTGGTCCTCCCGTGCTTCCGGTTGATCGTGTTGCTCACGAGCGTCCTTGCGGCGAGCTGCACCGTGGCCGCGGCTGCCATTGAGTTGGACGAACGCCCGGCGGCACTACCGCCGCCGCTGCCGCCACAGTCGCTACCCCCTGTTCCTTTTTCGTCGCCGCCGGCAGCGGGCGTCATCGTCGTGCTCGTCGAAGAGGTGCTCAGGGAAGCACCGCCGCCATGCGCCGGAGAAACGCGGTTGCCCGCCGCGGGCTTGTCGCTGCCGCTCTCCGGAATGGTTGCGACAGCTGCGCCATTCCCCAGAGGGAATCCGGACGCGACCAGCTTCGGGGTTCGCTCGTTTCCGGTGAGACCCTCTTTTCCGACGGCGACGGGGTCGGAGCATGGATTTCGGTCGGGTTTCCCACCCTGCGAGAGGGGAGACATAGAGGGGTCCCCATTTTCCGGTCCGTAGGACCCCCCCTCCACCGTGCGCGGGAGGTCGGCAGCAGCCGCAGGAGCAACGTCTTTGGACTTGGATTTGGTAGGCCTGCTCGATTCGATTCAAAAGGCATAGGGTCGGTTCGCCTTCCATGTTAGTGGGTTAAGATCGCAGAAAATTGTAATATGGAAACCCTTATTAACTTCAAACGCACGATCTTTCCTGACATGACGAAACAATGGGGACCTCCGACAGCCCCTCGGCCTGCAGCACATTCGAAACGATGGTCGCGCTCCATGGCATTCGTCAGACCCGTCACGATCGTGTGGGACACCCCAACATGAAGCGCCTCATTGTCGGAAGCACGTAGGCGGAGGAATGCCATTAGGAGCCCTATGTGATGGTGGTCCCGTCGGTATTTTCAGACGGTTGCGGCATGACAAATTGGATAATGCCAGAGTTGCGCCGCATCTTGAGAATCTGCTTCCGTGGGTAAATAGTTTGTGCTTCATGGACCCATGCATGGAATGCGATAAATTTAAGGGAAATCACATGAGCGAACCAAGAAACAATCGGCATCTGTGAGCGGTGGGCAACACGCCCACGCAATGCAGGAAGCATCGGTACATGCGATGAAGTTACGGGTTGATTTTCCGTCAACCACACCAGCGCTACCGCCTGGGCCAATAGTATCTGTCGGTCACGCGAACGGTTGCATTCAGCCTTTCCCTACGGCGGGGAATCGTTTCGGTAGAAGCGTTCAAGTGTTGTCAAGACTTGTTTCGAAAACAAGTAAAGTACGCCTGCAGGAACGATTGGAAGAACACACATCTCTCGGGGCCTGTCACGTCCCACGCAGCTGCACATACTTGAGGCTGGAAATAGCTGAATTCCCGCAGGGTGAGGCAGAGGAGCCGTCCGAAGGCAACGGTACCGGCATCCAGTACGCGTCTGCTACAAGTCTCGCCGACATCTCTCCCTTTTCGTGCTGGGGCAGGAGCACCTGCCATTCCCAAGTGAATATGAAAGTAGCAACAAACGAATGCATCTCTCAGCCTGGTTTGGCTTGAGCATTGGACTGGACGGCCACAGGGGTGGTAGTTGACGTATCGTCTCCCTCCTCGTGCTCGAAATATTACGGTGGAGCCTATGGCATGGGACAGAACACCCCCGACTGTTGACATCGTCGAACTGAGGGAAAATCCGGGCTTGTATATTATCGATGCAGGAACAATCGAATTGTCCTGTCGTTTTCCATCATGACAACTTCGGGAGTGGGCACTTCGTCCCTTTGCCTGACCTCCAATAGCTCCTTGTGTGTACCAGTCACATGCACAAAAAGAGAAGGAGACAAACCATATATATGCTTCACGTACCAACTACATGAACACCATCAACAGCAGTAGGAGCAACAACAGCAACAGCAGCGGCGGCAGCAATAGGAACAACCACGGCAACAACAACACCAGGAATTGAGGTCACCTTGAAAGCTCCGTCAGACCTAGGCTCCACCACGCCCTGCCTTGGCTGCACCACGAAGGGGCTCTGGAAAGGCTTGGGCGGACGGTAGCTCACGGAAACGTCAGCCAACCATCCGCCTCCGTCGGCACTAGGTACGATCTGAACATTTCGTGCACGTTATTGTCACAGGGATATCGGTGAACGCGGCCGGTTTCTAAGATAATCTAACCGGGTCGAGTAAAAGCTAGTGCTTTGTTAGGGCTTCAAATATGCATCCAATGTTGTGGCGTGAGGACGCCCAACACCGAATCTGCTACACGGTCCCGCAAGACAAAAGGAAGGTATCGAACGCCAAACACTTGTTGTACGTTTCGAGAATAACTCTAAGCTAGAGTGCCTAACGCGCGTCCCCTTCCAGAGATACCCAAAAGAGACGACGACACAATGGCACCGTGGCGCTAGAAGATGGGCGCCGGCACTGGCTGCGCTCGAAGGTCAAACACCGGGTCAACTTTACAGAGCGGCGACTGGTCGGTGTGTTGCGTAGCATCATGTAGAAATCGAGAGCTTCGCTGTTGATTAACACACCTTGAGGCAGACGTCGACCTTTTTCGCGGCTTCCTTGGCGTCGATATTGGCGTCCTGCATACCCCACGTTAGCATCGCCGGCAGTGTTCCCTCATTCTTGACCTGAAAGACAATCGACAGCGACATGAAATGGAGAATAGGGTCTGCGTTCTGAAGTATGCCGTTGTGTTCCGAACGAAGCAACTGTTATGTCTACGTCTCCTGATTTTATCGGGACATTATCACCATCCATGCGTCTGCATGTAAGACGTAGTTTCTGAGGACATCATTGGTAGGAGATGGTGTTGAGCGGAGCTGCGCAGAAGGCAGGGTGGCATAGGACAGAACGCGCATGAAAGAAGATGAAACCAACGGCGACAGCAACGACGACAACGATGGCGGCGACGAACACAATGACCAACGCAACGACAACCAAAACAACAACAACAACAACAACAACAACAATAACAACAATAACAACGACATCGAAAATAATACCAACAACATGACTGGCGACGACGGCGGCGAAGACGCCGACAACATCGACAAGAAGGGTTGCAGTACATCTCCCAGACAGCTGGATTAACACGATCATGAGCGCTTTCGTGCCTTTGCTCACCTTGATGATCCGGAACGTCTTCCCTCCATGCACGAACACCTCCCCGAAGTTCAGCAAGGGTTCGGGTCCCGACATGTCGAGTCCCAGTGCCTCCCTCTTAAGCGACAATGGGGACCCCTCCACAACGACTTTCATCGGCAAAGACGCTGTTGGTGCACCTGGCAATTACCGCAGCCATCCGAATGTGACATGTGTAGAATAGCGCCGGGTTGGCTGGGTCCGTTTTTTGCGGGTGTTCTTCCTACTAGTACCAGCAGGGTCAGCACCAACAGCAGCACCACCGGCACCAGCAGTTCATACTCTTTACACCTGTGGAACACGGTCTGTTATGGATGGCATCTCATAAACCAATCCTCGATCGTCGCAGGCAAAAGGGACACTGTCAGTGCATCTATCTGTCAAGGACCAACATACTCAGATTGCAACGTATCACGGGTTCGTAGCTCAGGTGACGCCAAACGCACACGCACACGCATCGACCGTGGGAATGGGCTCACCCGTTAAAGTGATGTCCATTTTGTCCGTGTATCTCCCGGGGGTGTCGTTGAACACCGTCACCGCTACCGTGGCCACGCCCCACGGCGCAAGGGTCCCAGACGAAGGCTCCACGAGGAAGGCCGCCCCGAGGCCCTCTTTCAGCGCGAAACAGTCTTCTCTCTGATCGATCTGAGCCTTGGTCCTGGCCCGACCTCCGGCCGAGAAAAACGCTTCCGTTGCTTCGTGCTCCGTTCCTGTTGGTTGGTGATGAGAAAGTGCGATGCCGGAGGTTCGAGAGTTGCTAGTTCTTTTTAGACAACCTGCATTCATGATAAAGTAGTGTCTGAGATGATGGAAACCGTTAGGGTCTAGAGTCACGGAAGCGGCATTGTCTTCCGTAAGATCAGTCTAGCCCTTGGTGCTTGCCCGGGTCATATCAGACTTGCACTGCCTGCGTGCCGATAGTTCTACCGAAAAAAACAGCGATTTCCCGAACATTCCACATCCTTCTTGGTTAATGAAGATTCGGCGAGATGTTGTTGCAAAGGGGACTGTTGTAGCTGGCACGAACATGACGCATGGTTGCTGATATTCGACTTGGGTGATGCTCGTCCCTCGATTGCCATGTGCTGCGTAGCGTCGACCCTCAGGTCCCTCTTCAAATAAATAAAGCGCCGAACACCTCTAGACTATACTACGTAGTGTAGAAGTCTCGACGTGCTGTACTTTCATTTCAAACCCACGCTTCAGCACGAAGTCTGTCTGGACGAGGAGCGCGTATCTGGACGAGGAGCGCGCCACCGTCGAGGTTAGGATCGTCCAACCGGAAATCCAAAATGAACCACGGCCTTCGACGAGAGCTCAACCTCAAGTGCCTCTTCAGACAACTCGACCGAACGAGAATATCTACTTGTGGAGGGCTTCACCGCGCATTCAAACACAGAATGGTTTTAGAGAACACGATGATGTGTCCGTTGTGTCCGTCCGAAACTACGTGACGGGGTGGTCGGGGTGATGATGTTTAGCCGAATGCAACCCCGTTCGATTCTAATAAGAACCTCTCTGTTTTTCCCGGGGAGTTACTATAGTCTTTCGAATTTGACCTCATCATTGTCAGTGGTATCGATTCCCATACTGTAATCCAGGGAACCCTCTGCAATGTTCCCCTTTGATTTCGATTCTCTTGGCTACATACCGTCTTCGCACATGAAATTGCGGGAGCTGGAAAACATCATTATCTCCTCCGATAATAACCAACCAACAGCCAATAGTCAAACACTCGGTTGCCGCTGTTATCACCAAAACCGCCAGTTACTGAGTGCTTGGTACATTTGTATAGACAAAGGGCAACGCCCACCTGCCTCGATTGGTAGCATACCCATCTGTGGCTGGCAGCACTCTTGGCCCTCCTCTCCCACGTCTAAATTCGTCAAATCGTGACATATTTGTGAATTTCCAGGTGAAACATGACTCAAAGGGTCGTTCCGAGCATCCCCCCTTTCCCGGCCGTTAAGACCATATCCTGTTTCGCCGATCATGCGGCCCATGAAGAACTCACGCTCCTCGTCGTCTTACCTAGCACCAGCTTCGATTTCCCCTTCTTCTTGGTGCCGAAGGAAGGAGATGCCGATGTTTCCAGGTTCGCGGTCTGGTCGCGAGAGTTTTCTTTTCCATTGTCTGGGGGTCTGGACCGGGACTGGAACCGGTCGTTTCCCGGTCCTGAAACCCCGCCTCGATTTCCTGCGCGCACACACATGGCGCCGCATTTTCAAAATTCTGAAGGCCCAACGCATATGACACGGATGCACAAGCTGATTAACACATCGCCAGACTTAGTGCAGCTTACTAGATTGAGAACGAGTTCAACCCCCCGTCTTCAGCGGTCATATTTCCCACTGCACATTTCCCACTGTAGTACCTCTCATTCCTGCATTGTCTGCTGCTGCTGTTGCTCCTGGCGTGCGCCGACCCTCTTCTCCGTCCGGCTCGTCGGCGGCGGCAGCATCGTCGTCCAGGTACGCTCCGAGGGCTCTCGGGTTGGAGACCACCCTCTGCAGCGCCGAGTAGCTCATGTTGGAGATCTTGAGCCTCGGCGGGCAGGGCGTACAGCTGTACTTGCGAACCTTAGCGGAGAACGGGGTCGAGATCGCCGACAGGTTCTGCACGAACACCGTCAGGGTCTTCCTTCCCCGGAGGTCAACCTTCCCGAACTGCCGTCCAAAAAGGGTAATCGGGAGTTTGGTTTTCGACAGGCGCAAGACGTGCATCAGTTGTCAAAGGAACATTCACGCGCGCGCGGGCGAGCGCAAACGGGTAAGCGTTTAACTGTTTCATCCCAACGAGTTTCATTTGTCCGGCAGTGGCATGTCGCATGGTCTGTATTCGATACGCCGGTAGAAGCTGTTGATGCTGGTGTAGAACCTGTTTCTGTTGATTGAAAATAATAAAAAAATGTGAGATACGTCCGGTGCTGCATCTCTCGTGCTCTTGAGAGGGCAACCGAATGAGTTACCGTGGCCACAAGCTAAATCCTAACAGGGAAAACACCAAGAGCGTCCTGAATAACAGGGTGGAGGAGATCCCATTGCTCAGTTCACCGGGAAGCAGAGTTCCAAAAAGCAAGAACAACAAGAGACCGCATATCACATGTCGGAAACTTCAAACGATGCTCCAAATCAAGCATTGTTGGAGAAGTGCTGTACGGTATAGCGCTCTCACGGCCGCCGTTCGAGCAGAGGGTTGTCTCTTTTTGGTGCGTACCCCCGTTGACCTGTCTGCGCGTGTGTGGCATGCCCACTACTTGAGTGGGTGCGCACACAATAAAACGTTGTACTGCTGTACCTCCAGGGAGGGCGCGGGTTCCGCCTCCGGCAGAGGCTCCTCCCCGACATACTGCGGGAGATGCGGCCGCTGGAGCGGTCTCGGAGGGCGCCCGCCGGTCTCCACCAGCCCGAAGCTCAGGGTAGGGCCTCTATTCTTGGCGGAGATGGCGAAGCCGAGCGGGGCGGCCATGCCGAAGACTCGGCAAGCGTACACTTCTTCGACCGGTCCAGATTGTCTCGCGGTGTAGCGCAGCTCCACCTCCCGCACCTGAAGTTGTCGTTGTCGTGGTTGAGGGCGTGGGGTCATTAGAGTCTTAGAAACCCGTTTCTGTCTGCCTACGTCGGCGCGCTTGGACCATCGCACCGAAGCTGGTTACCGTCATTAAGGTTGAGGACACACCAATTGTGCGGTAAACCGGATCTCTCCTCGTTGGTGGCAATGGTCGCTACCTTCGATACCAAAGAGCCAAGTGCCCAGAAACACGCGGTATCAATGGAAAAGAGTTCCACTGGCTCCAAGACGCATTCCGTACCCCAGTTCACTAAGATCGTTGTAGCTCTGCTCTTTCTTATCGTTCAGTTCAAAGTTCTTCACGTGCTACAAAGCTCCGACTGGAAATGGTCAAAACGTGAGTGGTGCGCCCCAAGCGTCCCTCCAGCACTCCGAACAGGGTAGTCACTGCGTGTCGGCACGTTCGCATCACTCCATGCTTACCGAATTCCACACTGTGCTGCGTTCTACGACAACGCAAGACGCGAAGACGCTTTGCCTCATGCCAATCGATATGGTCCGAGTGGGTTAGGCTTATCGTACACGACAAGCGAAAAAGCATGCTTGCCTCCTTTCCCCGGAGAACACCGTTTGGTTGGTCCAAGTTGAGATCAAACGACGCCGCTGCGCCGCCAGGCCGTTCCCATCTGTATTTCGCCTGATGCACGCAAGACCACAAATATTCCCAGCAGTCGAGCGACGATCGGCAAGCTGTGTGTAGGCCTTATTGTGGGTTTTCAAGCAACTCTACACATAAAAACTCTAGTGACGTAGCATGCGTATACTCCGGTACTCACGTTTCACGATGTGTTCTAAGGACGAAAATGTTCTTGTGGGTCGTGTTTTCCCAACCAAACACAGCTTTAGATTGATAGGCAGGTCGACCAATGGCGGACGAGTAACAGCCTGGTCTGGGTAAACTTGAATGGAGTTCATCGTCAATCGGCAACCACAGTTGCTCGCTGCTGGTTTCCCATCGTTCACGTAGTCAAGGTCCGGTGTTTGCCATTGAGATGCTCTCGTGATCTGTTCCCACACCCAACCCAAATATCTCCAGCTACCAACGCTCTCCCAAGCCCCCGCAAGTCCCGACAACAATTCACCTCCAAATTGCTGAGGTTAACCATCTTCACGCGGCGAGTTAGAGATACCCCTAGGTATGCCGTCTCCAAGTTAACCTCGGCCGTGCTGATGTACACCGTCGGCTCCTGGATCTCTGCTCGGACGGCGACGTACTCGCTTCCGAAGGAGACGCCCCGGCCGTCGCGGCTCTGGAGCAGAGCTCTGGCGGCGGTCCTGAATCTCTCGGGTAGTCTTCCTGCCTCGCAGGTCACCTATACGTTGGATTTTTCATACACATTCATTCTCGCTTCACTTGGTTCGTTGAAACGCGGCTAATATTGGTTGTGATGTGCGTGCGGCGGCGACCAGCAGAAAATTGCTTCAAAGCAGGCAGAGCCCAGGCAACTTGTTGCCTTTGCTTCGTTTCTCGGCCTCCCTTCCGCATGCCGCGTTGTGCAAGAGAGCACAGAACAACCAGAAGTGCGTGGCATTCGGCACAGAAATTCGAGCATGGTAGCAGGTACACACAAGACTTTGTGAGGGGACGAGCTTGGTCGGCGGGAGTTATATCTGTGCCTCCACCTTCAAACTTGGGGGACTTGTTCCTCATGTTTCAGTTGAACGAATACATATGACTTGAACATTAGTTGACATCGACCGACCGATTTCAACAATGCATGACAATTTTCGACGAGGACTCCAATTACATTCAATATGGATTATGTATTCCTAACCCCCCCTGGTTCGGTGAGAACCCGGCGTGCTCCGTCCCGGCTTTGCAGGGATGCGAGGTCAATGGCCTAACGACCACGGCATGCACGACTAGGAGTACCCACGCCCCCCCCCCCTCCCCGGGGGGGTTGCACCAAGGAGTGGGCCCCCTTGGGGCATGCCTCCCCTTGAAGTTATTCATCTGCACAATAGCAGGAGTTTTCATGCCTGTTCGAGTTTTTTTTCAAAACACACAATATTAAAAGTTCCCATAAACACGTCCAGAGCCCTGACGAGCTGGAGGTGCGAATAAATCCCGCGGAACTCTAACGGGCAACAGCCCACGTACCTTGATTGTTATCGATCGTCCGGGGGCTAGATCCCCGAACGCCGGATCGAAGCCCAGCCGGCAGCCGTCCCTCGAGACCGAGAACGAATCGGCACTTCCGACGGAATGTTCAGAGTACCTCCGCACGAGCGAGCCTTGACTGGGGGCCTTTTCCATCGGGTTAGCATTTGGCGCCGTCGGCGTGCTGCTGTTTCCTGGTGCTGCCGCTGGCGGTGCCGGAGATGTGCCGAATACTCTTGAAAGCGCTCGGTCGTTCCCGTGGTCGATGTTTCCGCCGCCGACATCGCCTCCCTCTGGGTGTTCTTGGTGGCTGTCGGGTTGTTGTTGTTGTTGTTGATGATGATGTTGTTGATGACGTTGTTGCTGCTGCTGCTGCTGCTGCTGCTTCCGCAGCTTCTTCTGCCGATGTGATTGCTGCGGTTGCAGCTGCTGGTGGTATTCTCTCTGCTGCTGCTCCTGCTGCTCCTGTTGCTCTTGTTTGGATACTATCAGATCTCTCAGCTTTCGAACCATCTTCAATTCCGCCGCCGCCGCCGCTGCCGACGTGACCCCTGTTGCTTCAGCAGCTTGAACCATCGCAAACGAGAGCGGAACGGTCCCCACGTTCCTCAGCGTTACTGCCTCCGACTGCGCGGTGCCCACGGCAATCAGACCCAGATCCACCTATCGTACGCGGAAGCAAGATATAGAGAAGTTCCATTTTGCCTGAGAAAATCTTGGACGGACATGGTTTCAGTGACCAGGATCAGTTTTCGGACCACGTGGAACCAAGCATTCATGTGGATGGGTGCAAAAATCGCGAACGATGTTTGAAGCGTGAAAAGGGCTACCTACGTATAACGGAACCCATGGCGAACGTTCTGTGAGTGTCATAAGCCCTCTGCGAACATGGATTTCAGCAGTCAAGAGGGCGCCTCGGAAACATCTGTTGGTATTTCCATTTTTCGTCCATGCAAGTTTCGCTAGCCAGCGTTGCCAACGGTCTACAGGGCAAAATAATCTGCATCTTGACACAGGGTAAAGGCCAATACCGAGGCGTTTTTACTACTATGGGTTGCCTTCAAAGTCTACCAGTCCTGAATCGAACTCTGTTCACCGGATGTATTTGTAGGCCACGCCGATGAGAACTAATTCGGGGGAGAGTCTGCCACCAGAAAGGTCACAATCTTTGTCACACTCCTTCAAAATCACTCGTTTTGTGGTAAACACGTTGTTGTTGGGACCAAGTTGCAGATAATGCTAGATATCACGGTCCGGGACTTAGGCAGAACGGCCGTGGCGCTTGGTCCAATGAGACAACGCCAAAATAGTGGCAGCCATGGCCCACAACTACGCACACTTTCGACAACAGCCATCTAGGGAAGCGGATTCGAACAGCTGATGGAAGTTGGCACCCGACGAAACTTCGACGAACGCAGTTGCCGCCCTGGTTGTCCGTAGCGACCTGTACTCACAGATCACACCTCACCTCTGCTGCCTCGACGCGAGCCGTACCCCCGCTGCCGACGAACCCGAGCCGAAGGCGCAGTTCTTCCCCTAGTTCTGCAGGAGCCGCCGTCGGGGCGACTATCGGGACGCTGACCACGCGAGAGCCCACGCAATACGGCGTGATGGTTGCCTGTCGACCGAGGGAGGGCGGTGGCACAAGACGGGGTGGGGAACCGAGCGACGGGTGTGCGTGGGCGAGGTGTCGGCATGGAAGAAGTATTCGGGAAACTCTCGAAATAAGCACACCGTGGCAAAGCCTACGAAATGCTGTGTTCGTTCACTCTTAGCACCCCGGACCTTGGCATGCCCAAGAACAACCTACAGGACGCATGGTACCTTCTACATACCTTTGCGCTGATTGAATGGAGCTTCGAAACAAGCACATAATCTCCGAAACATTACGCATGAGGGATCTGGCTCATGGGTCCAGCCAAGGTGCACAAGGCCGCCTCATGTACAGCCCGTCTACCTCCACACCAAGTTCAAAACCGAATGCCGGAGAAGCTCGAAACACGGCCTTTGTACGGGAAGGCTGGCTCGAATGACGACGTGTCACATTGTACGCTGGTTGTTGTTGTTGTTGTCTCCACGTCAAAAAACCGTTCCGGTCTCCGCTCAGTACCTTCCAATGTCCGTACTATACTATTTTATACTATACTATACTATACTATATATATTATAACAGTACAACTGACGCGGACACCTTCCGTGGTCACACGTCAACTGCCCCACCAAAGGGGGGGGGGAAACCTTTCAAAGAAAATGTAAAAAAATGGACACTAATAGAAAATATTCCTCCAAGGCACGATTTGTTTTTCTACCCTAACGAAAAGAAAAAGGAAACAACTAGAAGGAAAAAGGCCCCATCACCGGGATACAGACGACCGACAGCGGTGAAAAAGGGATGACAGAAAGAAAGACAACGAGAGAGAGAAAATAAAAGAGAGAGGGCCATCGGAAACAACAGGGAAGATAGACAGGTCCCTCTCCGACGCTCCAGTCTACCGGAACAACAACGAAAAGGCAACTACCAACGTGGCAACAAACAGATGGCTCACTTCCTACGACACAACATCACTTCACTTCGGGGGCACTGCGAGGGGGGGGGGTTAGCGAAACGACTGAAAACAAATACATATGAGGATACGTAGTGCGTCCTTCAAACTCTGGTGAGGAAAAGTTCCACCTTAAGGCTGACTCTTATGGCTCCCCATAGTTGGCCCGACGGATGTTTTTGGACGGGCATACCCCCCCCTCCCCTGATTTCGACCAAAAGACAGACCTCTCAGCACATCACCACAGAGTTCTCCCTCCATGATTGTCGGGTCGTCACCAGAACTTGAAGGCTGTACCCACCACACCTGTAGGCGTCTTTGAAGCTAGTGGTGACTGCTGTGGGGTCTGTGTGTGCTGAGCAATGTCAATCCCTGTGAGCAAAACTAAAAATCCGTTTGATCAAACCAGATTCTGAC